AGATGGACAGAGGCATCAAAGGTAAATCCTGGAGCTGACATAATGCGCCGTGCTGGGGAGGTGGGCACAGAGCTGCTGTGTCAGTGGCACAGTGTGGGTGCAGCACAGGTGCAGCCGTGGCTCAGAAAGGTCTCTGCATGGAAGGAAACAGCTTTCCTAAGGAAACAGCAGCTGTGGTTCTGTTGAGGAGTGCAGAAAGTAGGAATGGAGCAAATCTGAATCACCGTAGAGCTGAATGTTAGTGGAAAACTGGGCTGAATCCAAAAGGTTCTGACAGCAGAGAAATCTTTTCCTCATTTTTCTGTATCTTGTGTTTATATTAACGTTTATCTGTCAAACAAAGGTAACCACTGATGGATGGTGATGCACACAGGGGGAGTACATGATAACTTGTGTGTAGCAAAATGCATGAGGAGGGCAATGTGCTGTACACATAGAGATGTATATCACAGAATCACAGAATTGTAGGGGTTGGAAGGGACCTCCAGAGATCATTGAGTCCAACCCCCCTGCCAAAGCAGGTTCCCTACACCAGGTAGGTGTAGATATACATATCTAATGCCCTGCTGCAAGGTGAATATTTTGAGATGATTGGGAAGAAGTGACTCTTTCCAGCTCTGCATCTCTTCCAGAAGGTGTCACTGTTCTGTCGGTGCACAGGAGAGAGAGGCAGTGCTTGGAGGAAGGTGTTGCTGAAAGATCCTGCTTTTTTTCTGGTCTGCTCAGCAATCTCCTGCTGGTACGAATTTAAAAAGGAACTGTATTTCACAAAAACTCTCCCGTTCCTTCCCCCAGTCTCTGAAATTAATTCCTCAAAACAAAAGCACTGCTAAGTCACTCGCAGCTGACATGAGAGCAAAAAGGCAGACATGCTTGGAACGGGGCCGGGGGACTTGGAGATAAAACAGACAGATGCTGTCTCTCTACAGTTTGCTCTGTGCCTGCTGAATGGCATCTTCTAATGGTTCCAAGTCTTTGGGAGTGTATCTCCGTGGAGAAGATCTGTAGCAGTGCCACGTGTTCAGTGCTGCTGTGATGAGCTGGGCATCGTGGTCCGTGTGTAGATGTGTCCTCATTAGCTGTGGCTGTATTGCAGATCTCTCCAAAGTGAAGCTGATGAGGTTTGATGATCCAGTTCTTGGGCCTCGCCGTGTTCCGGTCCTCGGCAAAGAAGAAGCAGAGAAAACTGCTATTCCAGAGCAGGCAGTTTTCCACATTGACCTGGCTGAGAAACGTGTGTGCGTCACAGAGGGCGGCCTGAGGAGGGACATCGGTGACACCATGGTGTACCTGGTGCACTGAGCTGCCTGTGTGCAGCTTCATCCCTGGCTGAGAGAGAGAGAGCTCATGGAGTGACTTGGAAAGTGTTTGTGACAAAGATGTGAATTTGTTCTTCAAAAAAGAAAAAAGCCCACACACAAAAAATGCCTTTTTTGCATGCAGATTTATCTCCACTCTTTAAAATGTGGATGTAATGGAATTACTTTCCTTTGGGTTTTTTTGAAAATAAACAATTTTCCCAAACACTGTGGCAAATCTTCCTTTCCATCTGGGGCCTGTGTGCTCAGTAGAGTATCAGGCTTAGCACTCCTTTCTCTCCCAGCCAAACTGGGATCCAGGCAGAGCAGTTGGTCATGAATCTCCTCTAATAGACGGGAAAAGTCACTTACAGACTTCTGTACTTTGCTTTTCAGTGACTGAACAGCACGAGGGCATTACCATATGGACCATCAGGTCAGAATCAGCTCAGTAGTGGTGAGCTTTGAGGTAAAAGTATGAAAGCTTCCATGCTAGGCTTTTAAAATAAAGGCTAAAACCTGATTTTTTTTTTTTTTTTTTCCCTCACAAAGCTGTTTATAAATGGCTGCCCTTCCTGCCTGGGCAGCCCTTGTGCCTGGGAGCAGCTCTTCCTGCTCTGAAGCCATGGCTGAGGTTAGGAGCTGCTCCTTGGTTACCATTATAAATGATGTATTGTAAGAAGCTCCATATGGAAACCATTTGGGTGATGGGAATGGCTGCTCAGCGTTGCACGTCGTGCTGCAGCACCGTGTTGCTGATGCGGGATCCCCTTTTGCTCAGGAATTCGGCTCAGAGTTTATTAATCCCTGCAGGTTCTCCTAGCAGAAGAGAGAATTATTGACTGTGGCAGCAGCAGTCTGTGTGGGATCGTTATTTTGTTTAAAGCAGTAACAGTTTTTCTTCAGTGCTGTCTCCCCACGTTAGAAGCATTGCCTGACCTTTGGTGTGAGTTACTGGGCACAGAGGTGGGCAGCGTTCAGTGCCTCCATCAGCCCTGGGCAGTCAGAATGGGGCTGTGGGGAGGTCAGGGCAGGATCTCCCGTTGCTCCGTGTGGCACTGGGTGTGCTGTGCTGGCTCTGTGCTCCCTGCAGAGCTTTGGGCAGCCCCAACTTCCCCCCCACTGCAGCTTTTCTGCCACAGGGTGTTATATATGTATCTGATGGGACAAAGTCTGCTGCTTTCATGTTCTGTTCCTCGGGCAGCAGGTGGGTCTCTTGGATTGCGTTGCTTTCCCCAGCTGTGCTATGTGAGGGCAATGGGTGCTCAGTGCATGCCTGCAGTGTGCATGGGCTCCAGCGTGGGGCTGGGTGTGCATGTGGTGCAACAGCAGTGCAGCAGCCCTGCAGGATGGGTCGCCCCTTTCTGGTGCTGCAGCTCTGCCCTGCGCTGGCGCTCTGACCCCTCCTGCAGGTTGCAGAGCGCCGTGCTGTCCGACGCACCTAAGTAAACATCTGTAAACTTCACGTGTTTTCAAACCTTTGTTTTTCAGTTACAGAAATAGAAAACAAATATTTGAAGATGGACGCAGACCAGGAAGCGGGTATCTTTTTGTTTATTGAGTTCATTCTTCTCCTTAGTGGTACGTTAAATTGAAAAAGCCTTTTTAAAAAATGAACTTCACATCATGGAAAAAAATATTGAGCGTTGCTGAATTTGTACAGATGCCTTTCAACCCCAAGGTAAATGTCAGTGTTCTGTTTGCTCTTCCTGCCCGTCACCAAATAAGAAAAGATTATATGTAGCTGTTTCTAAACATACATGTGTAAACCAGTCCTTCCTGTGCTCTCATTCATAGTAATAAGACTGTAACATTTCCCTGCAACGTTTGCTGGGCTCAGTGCAGAAAGACATCAAAATTCACAGCCCGATGAGCGCAGTCAGTTACTGTCTGACCCTTGCTGACTTCAGGAAGCATTCAGCTCAGAGGTTTGATACAAATGGTCCTTTGTCTGCCTGTCAGCAGTGTGTGGCCCCCATGGGTGCTGTCAGCACCCAACCCCATGGGGCTGCTGGAGGTGTGGGGTCCAGCCGTGCAGCTGGGCTGAGTGCTGCCTGCTCTGGAATGGGGCCTCTTAGGGAAATACTGAGCCCAGGGGTGGCTGGGGAAGGAGGAGAAAAGGAAAAGGGAAACCTAAAGTCTATGTAGCTATAATTATGTGTGATACAAGTATTTTGCACAAACACACCTCGAGCCATTCAGCAGTAAGCCAGCCCTCTAAAATACTGATAAATACACATGTGGACTTGCTGCTCTGGGGCTGGGTTTTTGCCTTTCTGGGCGCTGCCTTGGTGGCTTAAGGAAAACTAAACAGGATCAGGTTGGGTAATAAAACACTTGGAAGCAGTTCCTGGGCCTTGGAGTGTTGCTGCTGGCAGCCCCTGGAACTGCTCCTGTTGTTCCTACAGCCTCCCTCAGTCTGGGGCTGGGAGGAATGTCCCATGAGAGCCTCCATCCCACAGTGTAGCATGCAGCCCAGGTGCTGTGAGGAGCTGGGTTCACCCTCATTGCAGCTTGGGAGCAGCTTGACAGCACCAATTAGAGCTGTTGCTGTAAGTGGCGCCCTGTTTTCGATTGTCTCTCCCTCCACGTTTTGGTTGAGGGAATAGCATCAAAGCAGGGACACCCTGTGCCAGGAGCTCTGGGATCTGTCCCAGAACGGCCTCCTGCTCTTACCAAAACAGCCCTTCCACTCGGTGCCTTTGCCCATCGCTGCCCCCAGCTGTTCACATGCAGTGGCAGAGCCTTTCCTACCCCCAGCAGCTAGATGGATGCTCAGTGGTTGCCATCACCCAGCGGGTTGGGAGCACTGTGTGAAGTCTCAGCACCACACAACGGGCTGCACAGCATTGCAGTGTTCTTCTGTGCAGTGCTGCCTCGGTGCTGTTTGTCCTGGCAGGGGGAATGGTGTTCTGAGCAGGGGCTGGTAGGAGCGCTGCGTGGCTGCTGTGTGTGTAAATCACTGTCACGGCTGGCCCGGGGCGCTGTGCGGTTCTGTTCACCTCTGGACGTGTCTGGAGGGGGCAGTTGTTCCTGGCTGTAGAGCTGCTGAGGTTTCTGGATTATTTTTAAGGGGATGAGAGGAACCTTCTGCAAAGCGCTGGTGTTTGCTCTGGGCTGTGCAGTGACACTGAGGGCGTCCTGTTCTCTGCCTGCACTGCCCCCTGTACCTGAGAGCAGCGGGCAAAGGATGCAGTGCTGCTGGAAATCCCTTTCTGCTGCTTAAAGAGAAAGGGTCTGAGAGAGCCAAGCCTGTGGGATAACAGACAGTTGTCAGTCCCTCTGTTCCAAAGGCTCCTTTGCTGGGGCTGCTCTAGGGCCGTGGTGAGTTTTGGGTCACCAACGAAGCTAGTTCCATGGGTTTGGAACGTGTTTAACGATGGATGTGACGTTACAGCAGTTTTGGATCCGATGTTCATTGTGTCAGATGGACACGGGTGGTCTCAACACCAGTGACGAGCACATGAGCTGGAGCCCCATCCTGTAGGAAGGTGACATTTGCCGCTCGGATCCCCGTGGGCACAGCTGTGGCCCCGAGGAGATCGCAGCACGCAGCGCCGTTCCGCTGTGCCCGTCCTCCCGTCCCGCTTCATCCCCGTTCCCTGCGCGAGCAGCCGCTCCGTGTCACCGCCCTCCGGGGTCCCCGAGCTCCACACCACCCCCAGGAGGGGCAGATGGGTGCGGGGCTGCGGGCACTACCTGTCAGTTGGCGGAGACGCTGCTGTAGCTCTTCCTGACGGGGAAGGTCAGCGGCGCTGACAGCTCCAGCGATGCCGCCCGCGGGTGCAGCGCTCTGCGGGGATGCAGGGGGCTGCTGCCCAGGCGCGGGGATGGCATCGCGGGCGGCTCGGGGCTCCCGTCGGGCGGCGGGGGCTCAGCTGCGAGCGCCGACTCGGTGCTGCTGCGGGGCAGGCGCGGGGAAGGCTGCGGGCCGTGCCGCTTGGGCGGCGGGCTGTGGTTCTGGAACCGCACCGTCTTCACCTGCTGCGAGGAGAGCATCGCGTCACCGCGAGGGGCGGCGTGGCGCCCGCCTCGAGCACCGGGAGCCCCAAGCATCGCTCTGTCAACCACGGACCTACTGGGGGCCCCGGGGAGGGAGAGCTGTCATGGGGGGGAGGGCAGGAAAGCGTTCCCTTTGTCCTGCTCTGCAGCGAGCAGCCCAGCGGGGGGCTCGGCACCCAGCTCTGGTGTTTGCTCTTTCAGTACCCGAGAGATAAGGAGAAATGACGTCTCTGAAAGAGCAGTCAGGTGGGAGCAAGCTGCCCAGGGAGTGGAGCAGTCACTGACACTGGTTGTGTTCCAGAACTGTGGAGATATGGCATGGGGGGATGTGGTTGGAGGTTGGTGGCTCCCCTCGTGGTTTGGGGGTTAGTTTGGGGGGTTTGCAAGCCATTCTATGGTCTGCAGGCATGGCGGGGGTGGGTTGGGGTAGGACTTGCAGATATCAGAGGTCTTTTCCAGACTTAATGGTTCTGTGATTTATGGGGACTTCAGTGAGGGGGCCTGATATAAGACCTCAGAAAGCCTCAAAGTTTGATCACTGCCACTGAACCAATGAACAATGGCCCCTTCTGGACACCCTGCAGCACTTGGCCTTTCTGAAGGGCTTAATTTGAACAGCAGAGTCAGCAGCACCAGTATCTGACAGCTTAAGGCAGGCACCAACCCCAGTAGCACCCATCGACCCGTGGGCAGCACTCTGTACCTTGTCACTGCTGTTACGGGAGGTGTCCGGCTTCACCAGGATGGATGGCGGGGCCGATGCGGGCGGCCGGGGCACCGACTCACTCTTTGCCAGAGGCTCCGTGGTGTCCAGGATCACCGAACTGCAGACAGATGGAGTCCTGCTTTCCCCTCCTCTGACCACGAGTGCTGGCAGGGCTTCGTGGGAGAAGTTGGGCCTCGCGCCCATCTCGGCTGTGCCGGCAGCGGGGCTGCTGTGCGCTGAGCTGCCAGCATGTGGGTACGGCTGCAGCCCGGCCGTGGGAACGCGGCGGAGGGAGCTGGCAGCCTGCAGCCCTGCCTGCCCCGGCCTCTGCAGGGACCCATCTGGGGGTGAGAAAAGGGGAGGGCAGGGCAGAGTGGTTAGCGGGGTCCCAGCGGGAAGGCGCGGGGCAGCTGCGTGCAGCGGGGGGCAGACAGCCCTGCAGGACGTACTCCCAGCACTGCCCGGCCCTGCGTGGTCCTGCACGGAGCCCCCCGAGGTGCCGTGGGGGAAGCAGCACCCCGCAGGCCTGGCGTTCCCCATCCTCTGCCGTTGTGCTTTTGGCCGAGCACATCTGTAAGTTTGCACCCGAGCCCCCCCACGGTTTGCTGCCATTGGTTGCTCTGCACTGGCTGCTCCATCTGGCAGCTCCTTTCCAGGCTGCAGCACTGGAAGTCGCACACTTAATTTCCTTGTCAGTGCCTCGCTGTTTACAAGATTGATTTTTTAATAAGAGCCACCACAGGTGCGTGGGGTTCTCTACAGCAAAACAGCTTTTAAGTCTAAAGCCTCCAACAGTGGCTCTTGCAAATGAGCCAGGTCCCAGCCAGCATGGCTGTCCATCTGCACCCCAACCTGGGCAGCGTGCTGTGGCTGCTCAAACACATTCAGAAAGCTGTTCCAAGGCAGTGTACCTTTCCACCTGCAGCCTATTCATGACTTCGTGCATCTTGGATATTTCCATGCTGTAAAACTTTGCTCCTGAAATAGAATTATTCTATTCTCTTGCTCATCCTTCCTATGCTTATTTCTAATTTTACTCTATTCTCTTTGAGTTATCAGAATATGAGAAGTATTCAGGATATGAGCTCACCAGCACTCCTACAATGGCACTGCTGAGTTTTACCCTTCTGTTCTGAGCTTCTTTCTTGATAACTCCTGATAATACCTTAATTTAACCTTCTGTAAACGCCTGTGCACGCGGAGCTCTCAGGGTCCTCTGTGACAACCCCCAAACCTCTCTTCGGAGGACCAAAACCAACGCAGCTCCCGGTGCTGTTTGCACAACCAGGGCTCGCAGTTCCCCACAGCAGCACGTTGGCAGCACCTCGGGCATCCCTGCACGCATCCCAACCACGGCGCACTGCCCGCAGGGCTGCACCGCCCGTATCCCAGCGCCCACCCGCACTCACTCTTCCTGGTGCAGCCGCGGCCGCGCCGCAGCGCCGTGTGCCCCAGGGGCAGCGCTGCCTTCAGCGCTCGGCTCTGGCGCTGCGCGCTCTCGGAGGCGCTGCCCTGGGAGGACACCGACGAGGCCGACAGCGTCCACGAGGCGTACAGCGCGGGCAGCTTCGAGTCGGGCACGCTCGGCTTCCTGTTGGCGAAGGAGCAGAACGTCAGCTGGTGGTGGAGGAGCGCGGCGCTGTGCGCATTGGAGCTCAGCGCCGTCAAGTCCTCCGCTGCAGCGCCGGCTCCGATCCCGGCGAGGTGGGGTCCGCGCGGACGCCTCCCTGCAGGGCTGGGTGCTGCTGCTCCAAATAATTCAGTGCGAGTCCAGGGTGAGGTTTCCTGACGGCTCCCCCACATTCCCTGTGCAGACACTGTGCACTGTGAGCCCGTGGCCGGGTCTCTGCCCAACCTGGGTGTATTTCAGGGAAACTGAGGGCACGGGCAATTTTTTTCTCTCCTAAAGTAAGCATATATTTTAATGATTGCTCTTCCTAATGCATTCACTCAGTTATATCCATGGCTTCCAGCATCTGAATGCCTGTTCTAAAGCAGTGGCATCACCGTGGGAGCAAGAAGGCCGCGTCCTACAGTTCCCCATCCCTCTGCTTTGGTTCCATGCAAGGAAAATCAGACCTGAGGAGGGGAGCAAAGGAACTGCTGGGGAAGATGCCGGCCCTGCCCCTGGCCAGCGAGGTACCCTGCAGGCAGCCGTTGTGGTGCTGCCCCAGGTGCAGCTTCAGCTCATCAGGGCCGTGCCCCACATAGGGATGGAGAGGCATGCAGCTGTGGAGACACGGGGACATGGGGGGGCCTTGTCCTTGTGCCCAGTGCCTGCAGTGCTGCCTGCGGCGTGGGGCTTTGTGCTGTGGGCACTGCATGCACAAGAGTCCCCCTGCAGCCCTGCACAGCTCGTGGGGTGCTGCTGTTACTGCAGAGATGACTCACAGTGAAGAGCCTGCCTGCAGGGTTTGACCAGAGGGGGTATGAATAAAAGAAGGGCCAACAGGACTGAAGAAAAGTAGATCTTGTCACAGCATCTTTCTCAGAAGCAGTAGGCAACCAGCCAAGGGCAGTGAGCAAGAAGAACGCTGCTGTGCCATCCTACCACACAGGTACCCAGTGGCATAGGGCATGGAGGACTAAAGAGCACCTGGCCTAAGGCAAAGCACCACGAGGAGTGCAGATGTGTGCTCTGCCTGGGCAGTAGCAACAGGAACGGTCAGAATCTGTCTCAAATCTTTCCAGTACTGTACCTAAATTCTGCCATACCCCTACAACAACCTTCAGGGTCAGCCGCCCCAGCAGTCTGTGCAGTTCCTACTGAGAAATGCAGACACCCATGCACGGCCCCAGCCCCAGGCACACAGCCCTGCACCCCAATGCCCCTCCTGCAGGCAGGAGCCCAGGGAGCAACTGGGCTGGGAAGAGGCATGGATGCAGTGCAGAGTGCTGTGTGACCCCCAGCACGATTCACACTACGTACATGTTGGCTGAGAGGTGATGCTGCAGGTGGGGCAGAGTGACGATGGCTGCCGAGTGCCTCAGTGATCCTGGAGCAGGATAGTAGGATGCGCTGACCTACCGAGAGGAAACAGAATGCAGTACGTTAATGTGAAGAGGGGCTTATTTTAGCCACTGGAGAAACCATTGAAATCACTGGACGGGCCTCTCCCATGCTTCCAAAAAGACAAAAAAGAGATACAGAACCTCACTGAGTTGCAGATGGATCCAGCAAATGAGGCGCATTGTCATCTAACGAGCACAGAATTTTCTAGGGAAGATGAACCCTGCTCTTGGTCTTGAAAGCAAAACTTCCAAAAGCAAAACAATTGAATCTGAACTCCCTGAGCTGACCTGGCTGGTTGCTATGTGTGCCCAGCAGAGCAGCACAGGATGAGCGGCACCAGGACAGCGCAGTCCATCCTGCAGCACCGTGCTGTGCTGCTGCTGGAGTTAGAAATGGAGAGAAAAAGGGAAAGAAAGGGAAACAATTTGTCTGCTTAGAAGACAGTGCTCTGGGAACAGCACAGGGACCCAGTGTGAGGCACCTGTTTTAGAATCAACTTACAGTCAGTGCTTCTCACTGGCACTTAGGAAAGTAGGGTTCACAGCCTACAAAGCAGGACAGTAGCCACGTTTCGGGCAGGAGACAGTAAAGCATCATAGGCTGGCACTGCTCATACCTTGATGTGCCTGGAAGCACAGCCCTTCCAGACCTTCCAGCATCCTTCTGTCACTGCTCCACGCTTCTCCCACAGCCCTTGCACCCCTCCTGGAACTGCTGCCTCTTCTGTTATGCTTCTGGGCTCCCACCCCCAACATCTCCCACCCCCCAGCACCACCCCAGCGCTGTGGCTGTGCCTCACTGGGCGCTGTGCTCACACACCGACTGATGCACAGCACACAGACCCCTGTGTGTCCCCAAAGAAAAATGGTTGTTCAGAAGGAAGGAAACCTGAACAGGCAGCACATCAACGCATCTGTGCTGCTACTTACGCTGTTGACAATAGCTCACACCGAGACACTTTCGGTAAAATTATACTGGGGTCATGAGACACAGTACCATTTCAATTGAATTATGGTTCTATTGTAGGGCTTCATTTCCACTCACATAAAAGAGGGCCTAATATCCAGGGCTGTTTGGAGTCTAATGCTAAACACAAAATGCCTGCTGGGTTTTATTGTGCGGACACCGAAGTGCCTGGGGCTGGCTTATTGCTTTATAAAATGTTGGAGCAGCCTTCAGTGTGAAAGATGCCACATAAATCTAAACAGAACCTTTTTCCTCCCATTGCAGATGATCTGTGAAGATCCTCTATTGAGATCTTCAGATAGAGCACGAAGCAGCAACGAGGCTCTTTGCCTCTTTGCCTCTGCAGCCAGCAGAGGATGCGCTCTCAGGGTCAGCCTGCACCCCTGGGTGGCTGCGAGCAGGAGGGCTGCCCAGGGACTGCCAGTGTGCAGGAGCCATCAGTCTGGAAGCAGAGAGCTGCAGCAGCAGTGGATTCGGGATAGGGCAGCAACCCCAACTTCCAGGAGGGCTGACACCGCTGCTTGGAAGCAGCAGGAGGTGGGGCACTGCTCCTGCAAGTGCTCTCACACTGTTGCATTTGTCCTTCGTGCAGAAGCCTGCCCTGCAGCGGCTGCCAAGGAGAGCCCAGCAGATGGGTTCTCCCAAAATAGGGGCTTCAGTCAGGCTTTTATGCTGGGGCTCAGGACGATGGCACGGCCCACGGGCCCCCCAGCCTCCTCCTGCCCCAACAGGGCCACCCAGAGCAGGTGCCCAGGGCCACGTCGAGGGGCTTTGGAGATCTCCGAGGAGGGAACTCCAGTCCCTTACTTTCCATGGGTTCCCTGGGCTCTAAGAACCGACCTTCCCTGTTCACAAGTGTCCCCAGCAGCCCACTGAGCCATAATCCCCCAGGCGCTCTCGGTCCAACCATCGCATGCCCTCCATCTGGCCGCCCGCCCCACGCCACCCCGCAGCAGCCTCACCTGGGCGGGGGTCCCGCGGGCCGCATCCTCACTGCCGGCAGCGGCCACGCTGGGGTTGCTGGAGCTGATGAGCACCGGGGAGCTGATGCGCAGCGCGGGGCGGTCGGCAGGGGCGTGCACCATGCGGTTCAGCGTGTTGAGGGCCGTGGTGATGGAGAAGGGCCGCAGGCTCTTGCGCCGCGCGTCGGGCGCCTTGTGCAGCTCCCGGCCCTGCGCCTTCGGGGAGGCAGCGCTCAGCGGTGCGCAGCGGAGCGGGGTGGGCCAGGAGCCTTTGCTGCTTTGCAGGAGCTGCCGTGCTGTCGTGTTTGGCTGCAAGAGACATAGGGAAGGCCCAGGGGCTGCTGCGGGTCCTCCTCAGCAGCACGGCCGCAGGCAGGACGCAGGCGGCTTCATGGGCATCTGTGGAACACGGGGCTCGAGTGCTTCCCTGCCACGCTTTCAGCAACAAGTTCTGAACACAGAATTATCAGCGCGGGGCTGGCAGCCAAATTAAAACTGGTTTGGAAAACACACGGCTCACACAGCCGGGAGCTGCCACCGAGCCCCCATTGCCTGCGGCTTCTGAGCAAGGCTGGAGCCCGCTGTGCCTCTGCAGCCCATGGCACTGGAAGTGCTCGTGGGAAGGGCCCAGCCCTGAGCTTACAGAGGCAACGTTCAAGCAGTGTTTCTTGGAAACTGCTGATCACTACAGCATTAATACAAAGGGCATGTGGTGACAGTGTTTTTCACCAGGATGACTGCCAGAGGAATTAATCATGATTTACTGCTGACATGAACAAATTGCAAAACTTGGAGATTCTCACCCACTCATGTGAGGCAATGCGCCCGGCTGGGGATGAATGGCAGCGGCTGGCGTGGGGCAGGGAGCTGCTGCTCAGTGCTGTCATTCTGCTGCACGGATTATTTGTTCATTTCCTTCCTCCTCACTTCTTACAGCGAGGTTTAAAAAGAATCATGTGTGCACATGCACACATACAGGCTGGTCATAGCGTCATTTCTCTGTGCAATTAAACCGCAGCCAGAGCCCAACTTCTCTGCCTTCTCTAAGAGCAGAGGGCCCATTAAAGGGCACGGATGGGAGCATCAAAGCCAGGAAAGCCCCATGCCTCTCAGAGCAGACACATCGCTGCTCCTCTTTGGTTAATTCCTAACTCCTTGGTGGCTCTGCGTGGCCCCGCCTGGCTCATTTCTGTTAACGTCAGGCTTAAATGAGTTAAAACAATTTAATTAAATGAAAAGGTGCTTTAGCAAATATATTAGAGCTTCAAACAGGATGTTCTACTGCTGCCCTTTTATAAAACAGCCACAAAGATGTGTTTGCTGTAATTATGGTGATTATAAGTGTTAATTCTGTTTCGAGGAATTCTTGTTGGTGCCACACTCCCACTCTGCAGCTGCACCACAGGAGCAAAATTTGTGTCCAGAGCGCAGCTGTGAGGGCTCTGCCTGCTGCCCATGCTCTGCCCCCGCCTTCCCCACACTGCAGTCCCATGCCAGGGCTGTACCCACCTCCACAAACAGCACGGGGAAGATGCCCACTTTGTCGCCCAGCTTGCCCTCGGCCCAGTTGCCATCGACTCTGCTGATGACGGTGATGATGTCTCCCTGCAAGGCAGAGCGCTGTTAGCGAGCGGCTCGCCCCACATTTCACAATGCTGCACCTCAGTGCTGCTCCCTTGCCAACCCTCTGCTCCTTTTGGTGTGTCCTTGTTCCCAAACGCAAGTCCTTGCTCAGCACAATGCTCAAGCGTGGGTTTTGTGTAAGGGTGCAAGCGTGGCTGAATGCAGACATGGGCACGAGCCTGGCGAAGGGGATGTGAGACACAGAGGTGCTGTCTGGGGGCTCCCACCTTGGGGAAACGTCTCTGCAATCACCATGCCCAGAATGAATAACAAAGATGGCATTTTAGCTCCAAACCAAGCAAGAGATCAGTGTGAGTGGTGGGGCAGTTGGTGTCACACTGCTACAACTCTCAGCCCATTACTTCAGGAGCTGAAATTGCCCCTGCTATTGAAGTGCAGGTTTTGGAAGTACGATGGCGGGGGTGGGTGGCAGGTGGGGCGACAGGCAGGGGCTCTTCCCAGCATGGGGATGCTGCCAGATCAGGGACACTGCAGGGCTGCAGGCAGCAACAGGAAGATGGAAGATTTTTGGAGGTCTGCATAACAGTCAGCTCTGCTTCTGAAGAATGAGCTCGAGCTGTGCTGCACAGCAGGCAGGTGCAGCCGGAGCACTGGAGCAGGCATCCCAGAGAGGTTTTGGTGCTCCTACGTGCAGTGCTGCTCTGCACTGCTTCCCCTCTGGCTCCTCTTCTTGGTCAGGAGGCACAGGGAACTCTGGGATCTTTGGCTTCTTGCCCTGCATGCACCCCACATTCAGCCCTGACCCGCTGCAGCCCACACCTGCCCTGTGCCTCTGTTTCCTGCTGGCCGGAGTGCAGGAGCATCTGTGCTGTGCTGGGAGGGATGGTGGCTTCTGCAGGGACACTGCTGCCTCCAGGCATTGCTCTCTGCTGTGCTCTGCACTGCCTCACCTCCTTCTGACAGCACAGTGACAGTTGACTGCTGGGAGGTGCAGTTGCCCTGAAAGCCATATCCTCCAGCTGAGAGCAAACACGAGCTCTGCAGACTTTGGGGAATGAAAGGAAATACAGGAAAAGTTCAGGTCCTGCTCTGCAGCGTGTGCCTCCAGCAGGCTGCCTGAATGCGTGTAGGCTGTGTAAGAGAAGTGTTCTCAGACCTGCAAGCAATTTTCTTTGATATATCAGTGGGTACCTTTTTAGGCTCTTTCAGTGATCTGGTGGGAGAGCAAACTGCCACCAGCAGCTGCTGCTCATCAACTCCATCAGTCAAACCGGGGCCTGAAATGGCTGCTCAGGGTCACACTGTGCTCTCCCAGGATGCTCTCGTTCTGAGTCCGCGCACCCCCCCGGGGGAAGCCGGCTTTAGTCACTGCTGTCAGTGTCTGTAAACCTTCCTGGCTCTCAGCGCAGAGCTGCTGTGGCGCTGAATGCGATGCAATCTAAAGAAGAGCACCGGCCCGGCCCGTAGCGCGCAGCCCCGCAGGGCGGTGTTACCTTGTGGAATGACAGGCAGTCGTTGTTCTCACTCCTATCCCTGCTCCTCAGGTCGAAGTTGTAAAGAGCCCTGCAGAGAGGCGGCGGCAGCGGCAGCTGTTTGATGACCTGCACGGAGCTGGCTGGGAAGACCCCGCTGACGCCGTTCAGCTCCCCCAGGTACCAGTTCTGGTCCAGCTGCCGCAGCAGCACGATGACGTCCCCCTTGTTGAAGCGCAGCTCGCCGGGGTTGTGGCCCCGGTACGAGAACAGCGCTTTGGCTCGCGGCACCTGCGGGACGAGGAACGGCACAGAGCTCAGCCGGCAGCGGCGCTCATGCAGGCACAGCTCGGCAAGAATTTGTCATTACTGGGAAAAGGCAGAGGGATAACAAGGCTGAAGTGTGCGTTGGCTGCGACCAACTGCCCCCATCCTTTCTTGATGTCTTTTTCTAATGAAATCGAGCTCCAAAATACTTCTTCTAAATGTGTATCCAGATGAAAAGCAGGCTGAACTTGTCTGAGAACATTAAGGAACAATTCATGCCTTAATGTAGCCATCCCAAGGGATCCTACTGCCTGCTGCAAGCTCCCTTCTAATAAAATCTCCCTGGAATGAATTTGGGTGTTTCTGTTCTGGTGTGGCTGGAGCTGACAACAGCTGTGCAGCTCCCAGCAGCTGCCACCTGCAGTGCACAACAGCACGGGGCTGGGGAAGAGCCCTTAAGATTTTGGTGCTCAGTCTGGGTTACAGGAAGAGAAGCTTCTTAATGTTACTGTTGTCATGATACGATATGAGAAAGAAGAGAGATGCCAGAATCAGCAGATGCGAGGGACCTTTAGCATCCTGACCATCATGGAAATAAACCCATAAAGTGCATTTAAAATAACAGCCTCCCTGACCTTTATCCACACCAGAAAACTCAATTTAACACAACAGGCAGCAGACCGTTGCTCTGAATGAAGGCAGGCCCACCCTGGCCACAGTGCTGGGGGGGACTGGCAGCTGAGCTGCAGCAGGTGCCCATCCTGCAGTGTGTATGTGCTCTGCTGAGCAATCCGAGACGTGCCTTTGGAAATCAGCGAACTGGAAGGCTTGCTTTTAGTGCTGTGGAGGAGTGATGGAGATCCTTGAGCACAGTGCTGAGTCCCACAGCAGCACATCCTAAAACAGAGCAGCCCCTGTTCATGCTTTCAGTGCTTTGTAACGTTGCCGTGTCGCGGCGGGAGTTATCTCCTCCGAAAAGCAGAAAAAAGAACTGCGATGGCAATTGATTTACATTCAAATAGCTCCTTTCATCCGGCAGGAACCCGAAGAGCCCCGAACACCGCGCTGTCACAAAGGAGACGGGCAGGGCTCGTCCGCCGCACGGAGCGTGGAGGCTCAGCAGAGCTGTGCTGCGCCTATGGATGGAGCTGCCTTCCATGGGATGCTGCTAGGATGGCAGCACTCAGAGCTGGGGTACCAGCATCCTCCCGGGGCATCGGTCACATAACTCTGCTACTTCAGCACAGGCTGTATTTGGGCACTGACGTCCCATCGTGTGTCAGGTGAGCTCCATCTGGGCTCACATCAGCTCCCCAGAATGGTCCCCGCACCACCTGCCCAGCCCGGACCCCTGGGAGAGCAAGAAGGGGGGGAGAAAAACACAGCACTGGTTTGTTTGGGGTGACCAAAGAAGCACAGAAAAGGATTGCAGTCTGGGGAAGAAAACATCTTCCAGTGCTCCCAAATGCTGACAGGAGGAGAAAAGAACCAGGAGGAGAAACATTTTATGTGCTGCATTTTCTTCAAAGCATTTGGAACAGGAAGCAATTAGTTTAATGTTTTGTTCTAATTGACTCGTCTTGTCTGTTAATTTGCAGTAATAGTAAACACATGCACTTGGCTTAGTAACACTGAAAATGCATCGGTGAAAAAAAAGGGAAATCACAACAACCAAATTCAGGAGAGCTTCGCTCAGCCATCCCCACTCAGTGCCTGGGCTGGAAGTCCAGAAGCAGCAGTGCTGCCCGAGGAAACACCCTGCAAAGGCATGGCAGTGCACGGCCCTGTGCAGCACAGGGAGCAGGGGCTCACAGCAGCACGGGGCAGCCCAGGACACAGCACAGGTAGCACTTGTGTTAGGAGCAAAACAAAAGGACCCATGCAAACTGTGGAAGCAGGCGTGTAGAGGAGGAACACAAACGTCCGGGGATGATGAGAGAGTGGCTGCACAGCAAAGTAAGGCCGAACATAAAAGGAACCGAGAACAAGTTATGGAAATGTATTGAAAATAAGAGAAACTCTGAAATGAAATGCAAACCTGTTACTACAGGGAGAAGTCAAACAAGCGACGGGGCTGAGAAGTCTGGAATGTTCTTCAGCAGGAGGAAGGACAATCGAACCCTCTATAAAATTAGTTTTAATCAGACAGAAATGTGGGCCAGAACAGAGTGCTGAGCGGGATGGGATGGGGATGTCTGTGCAGAACTCAGCCCTGGGGGGTGAGGAAGGGGTCATCGCGCCCCGAACAATTCCTGCTCTTCTGCAAGAGCTCCTGGAAGGCAGAACTGCTCCCAGAGGATGGGAACTTGTTGCAGAACTTGTGGATGCAAATATCTGATTGTCAATGTTAGTGTTTCTGCACTTCTTTAGCATCCCAAAACTATGCAGAATTTTGGTCTGCTGGGGGACACCCACAGCAGGAGCAGCGCAGCACCTCCCTGCCCTCTGTGCTGTGGGTGACTGCTCCCACCCGATGGAGTTGAGGCTGAGAAAGGAGAGAGAACTGTTTAATTATTTTCGGCATTTGGCATCAGCTGCGCCAGGCAGCCATCCAACACGTCTGAGTCTCCCTCCATAGCAAACAAAGACACAAATTGAATACATGCATGCGAGTGTAAGGGAGCGATTGAAAGCGTCTCCTCATAGCTGGGAGAAATGTGCGCTGTAATTATCTTCAATGGGCTCGTTATAACCTCCTCGCTACTGACAGCGGGTGAACGTGAGCACAGCCTCACAGCACCGAGATATCAAGAGGAACGTGTGCATCGGGGTCCAGCTGGGTGCCGGCAGAGCCGATGCACGCCTCGCTCCCGGCGCCGGCAGGGTGGGCGCTGCCTGCGGAGCCGCCGCCGCATCCGGGCCGTGCAGCGATATTCCCGTAGCACCCAGCAGCCTCGTCGAGAGGTTTATTTCTAGGACAGCGCCAATCTTTGTCAGGAAGAAATCCAGCCCTGGGCATCTTCCAGCTTCGTTGCTCCCACGCTGCGATCTCCGGGTCGGCGGCTCGTCGTGCAGCCGTCGGTTCCGCAGGGCTGCACGCAGCGCCTCGCGCCGCTCCCGGCCCCTTCTGTGCAGGCGGAGCTGCGCTGCGCGGAGGCCGATCGCCATCAGCGCCGCGTCGCAACCGCGGCGGCCTTCGCGGGAGCCTCCAGCGAGGCGCTGCCAGCCCTCGGTGCGACGGACGAGCCCTGCCCGTCTCCTTTGTGACAGCGCGGTGTTCGGGGCTCTTCGGGTTCCGGCCGGATGAAAGGAGCTATTTGAATGTAAATTAATTGCCATCGCAATTCTGTTTTTCTGCTATTCGGCGGAGGAGATAACTCCCGCCTCGTCACGGAACAAAGCCATCCGTAGCAAACCCGTCGCTCCCATCTCCTCGGGTAATTACGTCTGACGGCTCAGACGGCTGTGGTTTCTGAGCTCCCCTCCCAGGTCTGCTCCCACCCGCCAGGTGCCAGCAGCTGCTCCCAGCCAGCGCCAGGCCGGGTCTGCGTTCCTGTGGGGCAGGGGGGTTGCAAGCCTAGGGGCTGTGAGTGTGGGGGGCTGCAAGCACAAGCCCGAGGCCGCAGCCAGGCGTGGGAACACGGCCCACAGCTCTGAAACTGAAGGGCGAGTGGGGATGTGAGGAGGGGGCACAGAGAAGCCTGCACACACGAGGGGCAGCAGAGTGGGGAGAGCAGCCGTGTCCTGCAGGCCCACAGCCCTCGGGATCAAACCCCTTCTGAGCAGTGCCTGCTGTTGATGTGGCTTCAGGCTGCAGGGAGGAATGGGAAATAGGGACAGCGATGTCGGGAGGCATAGAGCAGCCCTCATCGAGGGCTCTGCAGCAGTTTGTGACTCAGAGCCGCCGCTCCCGGCCCTCGGGCTCTGTGGAGCTGCTGCAGCAGCTGTGGCAGAGGACAAGGCCATATTAGGCTTCACCTGGCTGATATAAAGCCACAAGAGAGGTTTGAGGCGAGCAGAGCCGGTGCCAAGATGCCTTGTCTCAGAGCTGTGCTCCTCGGTGCAGAGCTGGCAGCGATGTGGGGCTGAGGGCTGAGCTGGGACCCACAGCTGGAGCAGAGCCAGGGCTCCGCTCTGTCTTTGGGGTCCCCCCCCCGCTGTACGTGGCTGCTCTCAGCTGGCTGTTGGTGCTGCTCTCAGCACGCTGCGATGGCGGCTGCGCTGCGCGCCACGGCTTTCAGCCGCATGGAAAACAAATGTGTCAGCCCTCGGCGTGCCCCAGCACGATGTGCTGCTGTGCGACCACGTGGCCCCGCCGTGCTTGTCTGCCATGCGGGGAGGAACCCCAGCACTGCTGCTCTCCACTTCCCACCCGTGCGTGTCCTCATTGGCTGCAGTGCTGTCTGCTGTGCCCATCGGGCCGTGGCGGGGCAGGGCCGTGCAGCAGTGCCAGAGCTGTGGAGGGGCTGAGGCGGTGGCTCACGAGGCTGCAGGAAGCCGATGTCTCCGTGCCGACTCCTTGCCTCTCATTAAACCTGCCAGCGCTCTGCACTTTGCTTTTGCCCTGCAATGGCAGCTTTGCTTTCATGTTATTTCAGCAAAGTGCTTGCTTAAGGATGGTGCATCTCTCCATTCCTCTGTGACCTCTGCCTAGCAGATGTTGTGATGGTAAGTTTTCAGCTATATGTGATGTGTGATGCGCTGCCCTTGGCTGACCCGTGGGCCAGGCCTGGAACAATCACTGCCCACACGCCCTTGGTTGCACTTGCTGTAGCCCAGGCTTGCAGCCAGATGAAGGAGCTGCTCTCCTCCTCCTGTGCTTCCACTTCCAAAAGGAGTTTGACTGCCTCTGAAACCAAGGTATGCATGATCCCAGCAGATGTGGTTTCCCAGCAGGCAAGGCTTGCTCTCCCTTCCCTGCAAAACCATTCAGAACTTCTGGGTTCCCAGTTGTTCTGAACCCAAAGGAAAACCTCATAAGGGATCTGATTTCCACAAGAAAGATATTTGTCTCTCAGAAATAGTGCCCAAGCTGGCACTGGCATTGGTAGAAGAGGGGTCTTCCCCAGGCCAGGAATGGAAAGCTAGGAAGAGGAATGGAAAGATCAATGGCTCAATCACCCACTTACAAGTCACCAGGAGAAAGTTTTCATATAAATTTGTCATCACTCAGTTGTACGGTGCCTCGCACAGTGAGCTCCTGAGGCTAAGTGGAGTTTGAGTACCTGAAAATTAGTAACAGCAGAGCAAATCGCTGCACTGAGGGACAAGCACTGCAGATTCCCCTGTGAGGAGAGCAGAGGAGAGGTAAAGCAGAGTGAGAGAAGGCTCAGCCCGAAGCACGGCGCTGGTGTTCTCACTGCCTCGAGCCGTGCTCCTCTTGGGCACTGCTGAGCTTCGCCTGGCAGAGCCAGTGTGAGCGTGCCTGTCGCAGTGCCCGTGCCAGGGAGTGCAGCACAGCCCATCCAGGTGCTGAGCTGTGTGTGCCCGAGTGGCAGCCAGGTGACGGCGGGCAGCGGCGGCCAAGAGCCTCAGACTTTCAGCCTCCTCGCTGACCACGGCGCTTAGAGGTGAACGCGCTACCCTGCAGAAATCCTGCTGTTCTATTCCTGACTCGCCATCTGAGTCTGACTCATTGCCTTGGTAACAAATTAAAACACTTTCATGTATTTGCAGCTCAGCACCTCATTTTGTGGAACCAGGGAAACTGGCTCCTGCCGCTGTCCCGGTGCCCTGCATGGAGCGGCCCAGGAGCGCCCGGCCCCGCTGTGCCTGGCTGCTGGAGGCACGCAGTGCTGTGTGGGCTCTGCGTGGGGAACCCGGCACCCTGCCTGCCCCGTGGCTCCACGGTGCTGTTCTGCCTGTGGCTGCCGCTGCCCAGGACAGATGGATGCTCCGGTGCCACGCTGTGCGTAGCTCCAGCTCTGCTCCACGGCCGCAGCTGAGCACAGTGCTGTTGAATGCAGCTCTCTGGGGTATGCATTGTTGGGTGATGGATACTGATGTGGCTGACCTCTACTATGGACACAAGAAGCTAAAACCACGTGCAGAGGAGGAAAAACCATGCAATGGTGAACAGGGCAAAGACTGACACTTGGGTCACCCTGACAGGAGCAGTGGAAGTGAACTGGGGCAAATCTCTCCTCCCAGAGCATCGCCAGACCCCACGCTTAGCAAAGTGCAGCCCTGCACTGTGCAGGTGGAAATGGCCTGGGGCGGGCTGGCCCTGCATGGAGCTGGGCTTCCCCCCGCAGCTCAGTGCCTGGCACAACAGCCCTGTGACAGCACGGTGACCGGCTCTCCTCTTCCAGGAGGTTTTGCAGTTGGGTCAGAAATGTGTTTGCCCCTGCTGGGTGCAGCCACGAGGGTGGCTTTGTGTGAGGCTTCACCAAGATCCAGCAATCCAAATCCTGTCTGTCAAATTCAGAAAGGAGCTGGAGATGTTTCTGGAGGAGCAGAAAATACCGAGCGCGGGCTCTATATATAGTGCCCATGTGAAGGTGGCAACGTTGGAGTGCGATGTATTTTTATCCTGGAGTGCTGTTATCTGCCCATCTCCCACGACGTGCAGGAGGGGCGGCTGCAGCGCGCAGTTCCTGCAGGGAGCAGCTGAAGTTGAGGCAGTACGGCGTGCTGTTCTGGCCAGCTGCAGGGCTCAGAGCCCTCGCCTTGCCTTGGCCCCCGCTTGTCTCTGCCCTGCGTGGGCGCCGGCTGGGGGTGCTGCACTGCAGCATGCAGCCTCCTGCTGCCCACTTGTCCGGGCTGGGGCCGGGTAAAGGGATGCTTTGGTGCAGCAAGAATCGCATCCTGCACATGGTAGGGGCGGCTCCGAGGAGTTCAAAGGATTCGGTGTCAATTATTTGTGCGTTCACCTCCTAGCAAATGCTTTCATTCCTGAGTTCCAGACGGTTTATTACGTGGAGATCCTGAAAATCCAAAGTCTTGTCCTCAGCACAGACGGTGAAGTCCCGGGGCCCAGGCAGACCTCCCTGGGCTGCCTCCTGGGCAGCGCCCCGCAGCACTGCCACCTGCAGCCAGCTGGGCTGGGCATGGCACGGTGAGAGGGGAGCTGATGGGTGGTAAGAGAGAGCTTGGGATGGGCTGCAGCTGGAACTCCTGGCTCCTTACAGCTCCTGGCTGCAGCCTGTGTGCTGTGCTCCCAGCAATCCTGCAGCTCTGCTGGGGCTGCTGGTAATTTTGCACACCAAGAGGTGTGGATCTTTGGTTTGCTTTGGGGATTTAGTTGGTGTTTTTATCATGCAACAAGCTGGCAAGAAAGCATCTCTGGGAGGCGAAACTTCACTCGAACTTGTGATTTCTCAGCTCCGCGGAGTAAAGGAAGTTTATTTATAGGTGGTCTTTTCTGTAAAACAAAACGTGTCCTCTATCCTGCCTTGATGGTGCACAAGGCTGCAGCGCAGCACGGCGCTAGATTTATTTGCTCTGCAGCATGAAGTGGTGCACATCCCAATGGCAATCAGCAGTCTGCAGGTGGGGGTGGTGCTTCTTTGGAGACCCCACCACCTCCCAGCACACAGAGAGCTGCACCGGGGAGCAGCAGGAGAGCGGCAGTGGAGGAGCAGGATGCAGAGAGCTGTTCTCTGGGCTCCCAAAATAGAGCAAGCGTTTGTTTGGGGGTGGCTGCCCCGTGGGAGCCCAGCCTCAGTGCTGGAAGCCCTGCGGCAATCCCAGCACTCCCTGAGCAACTGCTGGATGGCTGTGGCCAACCCAGATGGTTCCTTTTGGGAACACATGCACCCCGTGGGGGTGGGGACACCATATGCTGCCCATGAGGTGGTGGGGACAGCCACGTTCCTGGGGTCTGAGCACAGTGCCACAGGGGCTGACATCAGAGTGCTCGGGAGCTGCCTGAGTGTGGGACAGCTGGCTTCACTGCTGACAGTGAGTGCTTTTGCCCCCTCTTTGGGATTTTGGTAATGGGGTCATTCCAGGAGTGTTAGCACAGCCTTGAGGATGCCGGAGGAAAAGTAAATCAGCTCAGTTCAAACTTTTTCACAGAAGAAGTCTAAAAATAATCGTGAGCCCAGATTTCTGTTTTGGGAGAGCAGTGCTTGTTAAATAATAGTGACAATAATAATAGTAAAAGTAGTAGTAATCGCAGCATTATGGACTTCTGCTGCCTTAGCCAAGGCCACGGAGAGATGCTGACTCCAGACTGAGCACAGGGTCCTCAGCTCTCCGGGCTGCCACTGTTTGGTGGCCCTGGCAGTTGGCTCAGGGTTGGACCATGGCAATGCCACCCTGCTGTGTGCTGCCCCGAGCTGCGAGAGACCGCTGGGAACGCTTGGGAGCCAGCAGGGAGCTGCCATAGAGCAACACCCACAGCTGTCCCTGAGCATCCTGAGCACCGGTAAAGGGATGGGAAAGGGGTGAGAGGAAAGCTGCAACCTGTGTGCTGCACTCCTTGTGGCGAGCTGCCCTCCAACTGAGGTATGTGCTCGGCTGTGCATTTCAGGGCCATGCTGGATGTTTCCCTGCAGGAAGCCCCGGGCCAAGAGCTCAGGAGGTTGGTTTGGAGCTGGGACGACACTCTGGTGGCACTGAGGCCCCTGGCTGTGCACATCCCTGCTGCACAGAGCTCACAGCCAAGCAGCAGCATGGGGCCTCCATGGCACAGCAGCGACAGATCTGCTGCAGGTCTGCCGTGTCTGCAGGGCTGAGGGGTGCTCTGGGCTATCAGAGACGTGGCACAGAGTAGTGCAGGTGGATGAAAAGGAAATTCAGAAATATAACCCCAAATTCAGGCAGAGGTAGGCTCCCTTCATAGGTCTCATGCCACGTCCTAATTATTTCCAATAAGCTTTTGTACTGTTAGAGAAAATGACAGGAAAAGCTTGCAGCTTTAAAATTATCTGAGGAAAGCTTCCCTAGATGAAAGTAGAGTTCACTGAATCTCAAGGTGTTTTGCTAGGGACTCAAATGTCACTTTACCTTCCTCTTTAATTCTGAGGAAACTGAGGTGCCTCTCTCCATCTCTGATAGTTACTGCCCTGCAGTGATTGACCTGATGGCTATCACACCCAGTGAGTTGCCTGAAAGTTAAAGCATCAGAAACGCCCCATGAAAGTCAGGAGGGACCTGAAAGCTCCAGCGAAAAGCAGCAAAGTTTGTGTAAAGAGGAAGGCAATCTGCATTTGTTTGAGCCGGGGGCTCAGTGCAGTTACTGCTATGATGAGCTCCAAACAAATATCACAAGGAAAACAGCGGCCGGATTTGCAAACAAAAGAACAATCTCTCTTACTCCAAACATCCGTGCAGCATTGCTGCCACGGCAGTTTGGCATCCCGGCACGCAGGGACAGAGCTGTGTGCTCACACAGCGACGAACGCGGGCGCTGCTTACCCCATCCGTGAGGCTCCTGGGGGCGGTGGGCGGCCGGTGCTGGGCGAGCTGCAGACCCCGCGGGGCCCTGCGGATGCAGGCGGGGGAGGACAGGAGCCCTGAGCGCTGCACGGAGCCAAAGCGGGGCGCATTCTGCCCGTACCTGACACCATCCAGCAGGCGGATGAGCAGCAGGTTGGCCGGCAGCTGCTCGATGCCGCAGAGGACGAGCGTCCTGCACTCGGGGCACCGGAGCTCCTTCTGGGACTTGAGGATCCTCTGCAGACAGGGCTTGCAGAACGTGTGCTGGCACGGCAGCACCTTGGCCGTGGCGTCGAGCTTTTCGAAGCACACCGGGCACTCCAGCAGGTCGAGCAGAGCCAGGTCGTCCATCGTCGGCACCGAGCTGCCGTCACGGCCGTGCCGGAGACGCCCGCATGGCACGGGCACGGGCGTCGGGCTGAGGCAGGCACCCTGCGCGGAGGGGAGGAGGAATCAGAGCGGAGCTCGGCTGCTGGAGCCTGTACCGCATCCCACCTACATGGCAAGGCAGCGCCTCACGAGCCCGTTTGCAAATGCCTACTTTGCACTCCCATCCAAGCTGCGGTGAGTCAGTGCTGATTCAGGAGCGAGGGGGCCGTGCCCAGCAGCCCCGCGTGGCACCGCGCGGTGGGGCAGGGCGCGCACCGTCCCGGCAGCACCCCGAGGAGCTCCGGCCCTGCGCTGCTCTGCGGGCGCCTGGCGGCGCGGCACGGTGCGGGCGCAGCCCGATAAGATCAGCCTGAGCTGTTTACTCCCGGCTCCGGCTCCAAGCGGCCCCTCGCACACCCATGCACCGCCTCGCTCCCAAGATCGGTCCTAATTAAGCTCTCTGCCTACCGGTTTTGACAGCAGCTCTATAAAAAGCCCTCCGAACACAACTACGATCCCGTTTTACCTTAGAGGGACGTGGGGAAACTCTGTGCCGACGTCCTCACCCGCCAGGTAGCCTCAGCTCCCGCAGCTCAGCGAGATTATTCCTCCCACAGCACAAAGTCACTCAACTCGTTCGGCTCCTTCGGGGCTGCGCTGGCTGCTCTCGGGCGGGCGGCTCTGGGCTCAAGTCACAGCTTGTGGGAGAGCAGCAGCTCCCGTGTGCTGGCCAGGTGAGAGCAGTGCCGCCTGTGCCGAAACTTCCCCTGGTGATGGTGTGTGAATACGGAGGTTTGGGGGTGTGAGCTTCTCACTGCTGGGGCTCTCCCTGCCTCGGTCATGGGGTGCCCATGGCCACAAACCCCCTCACACACAGCTGGGCCAGGGCTGGGCACCGGCAGTGCTGCTCCCATGCTCTGAGCTGCGGATGCTTGAGCAAGCCTGGGGTGCTGCTGGGGATGGCAGAACCCGGCCTTGTTCTGCCCGAGCAATGCGGCTCCATGTCCCAACATGAGTCCCAGCGGTGGCTCCAGCAACCCCAGCTGTGCCCACGTCCTCCCTGCACAGTGATGGGTTGATGATGCCCAGGAGGGTGCTGTTGCCTGCAGCACTGTGATGCCCACACAGCCCTCCAAACGCTGGGCCACCTCCACCCACACCCACTCAGCACGGCTTTCACAGAGGGCCAGAGCGGTGGGAAGGTGCAGTTCTGTGAGATTTATTTTGCACACCTCCATTTCTGGGCCCATTGGGCACAGTGCACTCCCAGGCTTTGGCCCAGAGGGATTTGCTGTCCTGCTGGGAGCTCCCTGTGCAGCACCAACCACTGCCGCAGGGACGGCCGCAATCTCAGCTGTGTGTTTGCAGCCTATGAGTTAGAGGAAACGACTGTAGATCTGAAGGGTTTATTTCTATTTGGTGCTTTTACACACAATGCAATGATTTGTGAGTGCAGGACACACTTCACTTCTCTGAGGAGGGCTATTTCCAGAAACATTCAGCAGATACAGTAAATGCTCTTCTTTCAATGATTTTTCTGCACAGTGTGTTTTTGTCAGAGCAATTTCTTTCAAATGGCGGCCATTTGGCTCAATTAAGCACTGACATCTTCAGGATAACGCACAGAAACAATTACTTCACTCCGTTTCATCTCAGGTCTCCATTTACTTTGGTATTTCTTTGTAGTCTGTCATACGCTGATTCGCGCTCGGCTGACAGCGCACACTTTGTAATGCATGACGTCGAGAGCAACATCCTGTGCCAGGCTGCTGCTTTAAGATGCAATGTGTGACATCAGCCATATTGAGAACAGGTTTTGAAGTCTGGTTTTTGTCGTGTTTGTTGGGTTTTTTTTTACATTTGCTTCTCTATTTCTGCTCTGTGGTTCGTACGCACGCGGTGTATTTTCGTCTGACTGGAAACGAATTACAAAACACGGCGCAGTTGGGAGCTGGTGGGGATGAAGCTGAAAGCTGAGTCTGTGCTCGCAGGTAGCGCTGCTCTCAGATGCAATTTGTTCACGAGTCCTTTAAAAATTCTTTTAACTTTTCCCAAGTCCTGATTTGAACTAGTTGTGGTCAATGGGTGGGACTGAAAGCTCCTACGAGAAGCCTGCACACCTCACCACACGTTTCTCCTGCCCATGGTGGATTTCCATGGAAATCTGTGGGCGCTGCACAGGCGCGGGTGAATCACTGCTGCCCTGCATCCCAGCTGGCCCCAGACGCATCCCAGGCACATCCCAGCTGCATCCTGACCACATCCCAGCCAGTCCCAGCTGCCCTCCCACTGGGTTCTATCTGTGCTGGCTTTCAAGGCCAGGGCAGAAGCAGGGTGCCAGGTGCCAGGAACCAGCTCCAGTGTCTGGGGGCTCTCCGAGGGCTGCTCTTTATCCTGTGCAAAACAAGTCTGTTGAAGGCAGGCATAGTGCTGGCAATCGCCTGAGAGCGCTGCCATGCGCTGCAGATTGGGGCAGCTCTTTCTTTGCCCCCAGCAGCGTCCACGCAGCTCCCTGCCTGCTGTGCACCACGAGCCCTTCAGACAGGGGTGGCCGCTCTCCTGCCCAGGAGTTTCCAGCTGCCCTGCCTGGCACAGAGAGGCTCTGATCCTGATTGCAGTCGCTAGGCTTTGCTGCAATATAAAAAATGGATGATTCCAACACTTAGCGTTACACAACTCCTTAAATCTTCAAAGTGCTTTCCAAATACTAATTCAGCTGCGGAACGCCCCTTGGGCTGCGTGTCACCCCCCCACTTTGCATGGAGGAGCTCAAGGATGAGGCCAGTCAGCAGACCAGTGCCCAGTCTGGGGCTGGGCTGTGCAGCTTTCCTGCTTCTCAGCATTCAGACCGTCCCACAGAGCTCTATCATTTGCCTCGTAACTGGGGTTAAAGCACAAAGGCAGAGCTGCGAAGCTGCTGGTCCTTCCCTTTCATTAAGGAAGTCTGTGCTTGATGCTGATGCTGTAATTAGCTCTGGGCTGGATGAAGCCGTGTGCTGCTCCTCTGGGGCTCCATTGCTCTGAACCTGTGCGGCAGTGCACAGCCCCAGTGCTGGCAGGGAATCACGCAGTGCTGGGAACCTGCAAGGGACATTCCAGAGGAGCAGCACTGAGGGGCTGTGTGCCCATCTGCAGGGGCTGCAGTTCCAGCTCATCCCCGCAGTCCCTGCCAGCAGCAGCCCTGCCTGGTCAGGTCAGCCACTGTGGAGGAGAAGTGTGGAAACAGCATTTCCTTCCATCAGCTTTGAATTTCACATATTGTATCTGCTGAGCATTTGGAGTTCTTGTGACTATGAGACAGTAACTACAGAAGCCCAGGTCAGCTCCGGGCTGCACTCAGTGGGGCCACAGCAGTGTGCAGGGTCACAGTGTGTGCGGGCAGCTGGGCAGCAGGGCATGGGCTGCAGCGCCTTGTGGGGTTTATAAAAAGCTGCTGTCGCTATATACAGCACGGGTGGGTGCCACATGCCTCCTCCTCCAGGAAATGAGGGACCCTTCGTGCTGTTTTTAGATCCTGGAGGGCAGGGAGAGGGGGTGCCACTTGCGAGCAGCTGCAAATTATAGCTCTCATGCTAACAGCTTGTCCTCCTGCCACCCACGGCCCAGGCACAGCGCATGGCTCAGCGCCCGTGGGAGGGCGAGCGGCCCCCCAGCCCTGCTCAGGGATGGGGAACCGCAGCGGCCACGTCCCCACGCACCGCTCCGATGCCACTCACACTGCTGTGTGTGCCCTGTGCTGGGCGGCTGCAGGGGGGATGGAGCTGTGTGGGGGCACGGAGCTGGGTGGGAACATGGAGCCAAGTGGGAATGCGGAGCCAGGCATGCAGACAGAGGCAGCGTGGTGATGGCTTTTTGGTCTGGGACTGGAGTTGCTCTTGGGGAGGGGAAGGTGGGGAGCCCAAGGAGCTGCTGATGGAGCTCCATCCCTGCAGCACCGCGTCCGTGTAGCGCTGTTGTTTGTGCCCACAGTGCAGCAAAGGGGTACAAAACTGGGAGCACTATGCCTGCTGCCTGCTACCTACCCTATAAGGGCTGAGTCTGCAGGGGGTGATTTTCAGTTTTTAAGATGAGAAGAAATAAAAGCTTTCAAGAAGCAATGGACCCGAGCACCAGCCCAAAAGGCCTCTGAATGTTGCCTTGAGTGCTGCTCAGCTGTTCCTCATGCAGGGCTGACAACAGACAATGTCAGGATTCAGTTACCTCATTAAACACAGCTGCCAGGAGCAGTGCTGTTGCTGTCCCCCCATGTTCCCAGGTGCTCCTGCCCAGCAGGATGGCAGCAGATGGGTTATATCAGGCATGGGGCACCTGCACAGGGCACTGCAATTTAGCAGCAGCTTCCTGCTGTCCCACCATTCCCTGAGGAGTCCCAGTCAGTGGGCATGGTGCCTATCCTGCCCAGGGGTGCTGCTACATCTCTGCAGCATGTTGGCTGCTTGCAGGCTGCTCCTCATGCAGCTCAGCTGTGGAGATTTGCTGACAGTGAGCACATGCAGAAAGGAAAAGGTTTTTCTTTGCTTTATGAGATCAAAGTGATGAGGGTATCTTTTCTGTGGGGCAAGGAGAAGGATGGGGCAGTCCCCCACTGTGTGACAGTGAGTGGTGGCAGATACCTGCATGGCTGGGTCCCTACAGCTGGCAGCTCAGTGTGCAGCTGCTGTTGGAGAGCTGTGCTGAGTCTGCTCAGCAGTGCATGGAAATGCTGCGTGTGGCAATGGGATGGGGCTCAGGGCAGGGGCAGCTGCTGCCGTGCTGCTGGCAAGGGCCCCTTTGGTAGCACAGGGTGTGCCTGTCACTGTGCTGTGCAGGAACGAAGCTGTCGTGGTGCTGTGGGTCCCTGCAGCACGGAACTGTGGAGAGCAGCCCAGCAGTGACAGCGCTGTGCAGGCTGAGGGGAAGAGGGGGTGGGGGCTGGGCTGCCCCTGCTGTGGGAACCTGTGGAGCAGCACAGGGAGGCCAGCTTCCTCCTCTTGCTCACAGGCAGTTACGGTTAATGTGGCATGCTGATATTTCCTCATTCACCACCATATTTACTGTGGTCATGCCGCTACCTTCTCCCCCATTAGGTCTCACAACCTTCCTCTTTGTGCATCCAGGGGTGTCTGAGTGCTGGTGAGATTTTTCCCAGTGTTTATACAAAAATTAAGTTTTTCTTATGCCAGCAGCAAGGATGCCCACTTGTGACCCCGCGAGGTATCTTTCTCTCCTGCTTTCACTTCCTGCTCTCTTCAGCACACAGAGCCCCCTCCGACTCCATTAGACAATGGCTGCAGCTGCCTTCCTGCCTGCCACTCCCAGCAATGCAGCGATGATGCGTGGGATGCAGCCCAGCTGAAGCCCCTGCACATCCCTTTGTGAGTAGCTGCCTGCATCCCTTCCTGCTGCTGCTGCTGCTTTGTCAGGAGGAGCGCCGCAGCGCTCCAAGGAAGCGAAAATGAGCAAAGAGCAACAAAACATTTCTCAGCAAAATGTGCAGGTGGAAACATGTCTTCAAAGAGCTGCAGTGCAGTTCACCACCACTTCTCTATCTGTCCTCGTTTGTACGTATCCTGTGTTGTTGCAATAGACATAAAGCAACATGTTACGCTCCTTAGGGCAAGGCTGTCTGCCTTTGTTCTGCAAACCTTCGGAATGCTTCCAACAGCATTTGGTGCTTCCTAGTGTGCAGAGGGGGTGCAGGCTGGCTGTGTGCTGGGAGGACACGCTGCTAAATCCAGTGGACCAAAGGCTAAAGGGATAACCCTGTGATAATGCAGATTGTGGAGCTTGGTGACCTCTGTTGTGTGCAGCATCACCGCTGTGCCTTCAGCAGGATGGGGCCCAGCGCGGTGCTGTGAGCAGGGCTTGGCACGGCCCGCACTGTGCTGGTGGCTGCAGGGCTCCCAGAAGGAATTCTATGGGAGTTCTGGGCCTGCTGTGGGTCTGTGGCACTGAGCTGTGTGTAACATGGGAGCCGCTCAGCTGCTGGTGTGGATGTGCAGTGCTGCTGCCATTGCTGCTTTCAACTTTGTTTCCTGTTTGATTGTTCTCTTAATCAAAAGAAAATGAACTCCAATTAAGGTATCTTATAAAGTGTGGTTCGTGGCAATTAGGACTGCTGTGTGCCTTTGAACAGCAGGGCTTGCTTGGCACAGGGCGAGTCAGGGAAAGGGGTGGATGGGGCTCCCAGGTACACAGAGAGCACAGCCTGATGGATGCAGATCAGTGCTCCACCACGTGAGCTAGTCATGTTGGGGTGGAGCAGGCGGTGGCACAGGCACTGCATGGTGCTGGAGAATGCAGAGGTGTGCCTGGCTGCACTCATGTGGCACGTTGCTGCATGCCCACAGCTTGTGGCACCATAGGGAGGGCCATAGAGGCCTTCTGAACCCCCTGGTGCTACATGGCCAACTCCTAATTAATAATAAATGGGTGTGTTGAGAATGTTTAGCTATAAAGCTCTGGTTGTGAATGATCAGCAGGATGAAGACAGGATGCTCCGCTCAGGTTCCAGTCAATGCAGCTTCCTTCAGCAGCAGAAATGTGCTGAAATGCTGAAGCTTGAAAGGGAGAGCCTTCACCTGCTGTGAGTGCTTGGTGTAAACAGGTGTCGGGATCTCTGAGAGCTGCCAGCAGCTGCTCCACTGATGCATTTTGTACTAAATACACCCCTCCTTTCCCTGCAAGAGGAAAGGCGAGCCCTGGTCGGGAGGGGCCCAACAGGGCTGGGGGAGATCTGGGGACTGCGGCCCCCCAGGGCTGCTCCTGCTGCCCCACAGCCCCGTCTGCCCCTGGAGGGAGCTCTGCTGCAGAGCGGGGCCGGAGCCCAGAGCCTGCAGGAACTGGCGATAGAGGCTGAAAGCAAAAGGGGATGAAATCTTAATTGGATCTCCACCGCCCTGCAGAGAAACGCGTTTGGATTAAAACGAAACGGAGCTTTGTACTCTCAGGGTTTCAGAGCCGGAACGGGAGAGTAATTATTCACAATTCCTATTAGTGAGAGAGGAGAGCTTTTCCAGTGAACTTGTCCTTGTGAATTTCATCTTGTCAGAAATGGTGGGGGGCTGCGGGACGGCGCACTGGGACAGCGCTGACCGCAGGGCACAGCCCGGAGCGCGGCGGTCCGCTCAGTCCCGTGGCCCCGCTCGCTCCGCTCCTCGCTCTGCACTCCTGTTCCCACTCGCCGGAGCTCTGCAGAACTTGCCACACATCTCGGTATTTTCTCTTTGTGAACTTCTATCAATATTTAACGCAGCAGTGTCGGTTTTGCTGTAAGATGAGAGGAGCTACGAGAAGCCTGAATTATACATGGTGCGACGGGGAGGCTGGGGAGCTTTCAGTGAGCCGAGCGCGGCGCCGCGGCCATGGAGGAGCTCCAGCAGAACCCCGGGCAGCGGCCCCGCAAAGTGCGCTTCCGAATCTCGTCGGCGTGCAGCGGCCGCGTGCTGAAGCAGGTCTACGAGGACGGGCAGGCGTTGGAGCCGCCGGCCGTGGAGCAATCCCGGCGGCTGCGGCACAGCTTTGAGCCCGGGGTGCCGCCCGACGGCCCCGCGCCGGGACCCCCGCAGAGCAGCGGCTGCGGGGGGGATGGGAGCGGCCCCGGCTGCCTCCCCGCCGGCAGCGGGCTCTATGGGGTGAGTGGTGCCGGTCTCGGCCCTGGGACGTGCGGGGCGGGTGGAGATGTGGGCCCAGGGACCGCAGGCGGGGGCTTCGTTCTGGTGTAGCCAGCTTTGTTAGCTGCGTGAGCCCGTACAGCCCTGTCCCATCAGCACAGCAGCATCTGCTCTGTGCTTCATCCTCGGTCCTCACCACATTGATTTGCATCTGTCTGTTCTGTAGAGTGAGATGAAACGTCTCCCTGTATCCCAGTATCTGTACAGAATAACCCCGACGCATCCAAACGTAAGGTGGATATTATCTCAATTAGCTGCATTTCAAGCATTAGAGCTGCATGACTTGTGCTGGCAGAAGGGCTGTGCCCGTGACACTGTGTCTCGGAGCAAGCCCCCTGCTAATTAGTGGTGCTAAATCAAGCCTCAGGTTTGCCTTAGGAGCCCTGACTTGCTGATACTTGGATTGTACCGAGGTAATACCCTGGGCATCTGGTTTAACCGAAAATATCAAACCACTGTGAATCTCTCCTGCCCCAGACAGAGCGCTGATGTGATCCTATCTATGCTGTTAATTGGTTCTGCATTCCTGGGTAACGCTCACCTCCATTCTCCAGGCTCCCTAACCGTTGGTACTTGCAGTAACCTCGCTGCCCAGCACCGGTCCTGCTCTGTGTCAGTGTGCACCCGGTGCAGGGACGCAGCTGTGCAGATACGGGCACTCCATGCCTGGTGCTGTGGGCAGGGCGGGTGCTCACAGCCCCTGTGGTTCTGTTCTGGGGCAGTGATGCCCAGCTGCCAGCACGGCCTTTTGTTAGCAGAGCACCTCTTCTCGCCGTGGATACTTACACAGGGCGAAATGTGAAGAGTAGGTAAAGCAATAGGATGTGGTAACTGCCATGTGATACCTGGGAAAGGTGAGGGAAAGAAAGATCGGGAAAGCAAAGTGATGCTTTCAAATGTCTGTGACTGGAACAAAGCTGGTTTTAAAACCATTAGAAAAGAATATAAATGCAAGGGTCCCCATGGATGGCTGTTTAGGCTGGCTGTTAGGAACACAGTTTAGCACTGGGTAACGAGATTGTTTCACCCCATCTGACCACTTGGTCAGCATTAGCAAATTACGAAGAAAAGTTTTCATTTAGGTCTGGAAACCCCACCAAATGCTGCCTAATAGGTAACCATCATCTGAACAGCTTCTTCCAGGCCAAGCTCTGGAAATCCCCTCCAAACTGCTCAGCCTTCAAAGAGACGTGGCTCAGTCCCCAGTGCGGAGGCTTTTTGGCATATGCTGGCTCTGCTGCTCTGAGCATTGTGCATTTTTCATTTCTTCTGGGTTGAAATGAGAATTTCCATCCTGGGAAGCTTTCCCCATCCAAAACGTGTTTGCAGAGCATATATTATACAGGTGGAAACTGATAAGATCCTCTCGCAGGCTTCCCCAGTTATCGACTTTGGTCAGATCATCATCTACACCAACAACCTGAAAATCATCCGTGCGCCAATGGACCAGAGAGAGCTCATGAGAAGGATCATCCAGACAGAGGGGGTGAGCGACTGGGCCTTTGTGTACAGGGAGAGGAGAGAAAGAATTGGTGCTGGGCATAAAAAGGATGTGGAAAAGAAGGCTGTCTGCAGCCAGTACGTGCAGGTAAGAGAAAACGGGAAGTGTTTTTGTTTCCTGGTTCTGGGCAAACCATTCAGTGCTCCCGTCCGTCCCCATCTCTGTCAGTATCTGTCACTTCAGCTAAATTTGGGTTAGGAGCATCGCTTTGTTCCTCTCACTTGGATGTGACTGAGCAGCACAGCCAGCACCCTCAGCTGTTGTTCTGCTTCCAGTGCCCTCGTGCCTCCTGCTTGGTTCTCCTTTGGAGGTCACTGACATTCAGCAGTGTGGCGGAGCTCCGTCCTCCATCACTGACAGCAGACTGAGTTTCTACACCCTGATGAGGCCAAACACAGCTGCTGTGTGGCTGAGACTTCCCCAGGCTAAAATTTTAATATCAGCTGAAACGAGATCGTGCCTTCCACTTATGTTCTCACGGGTTAGACTTTGTTGGTCAGAACCCCAATTAATCCGGCCACAATTTGATCCCACAAGACAAATGCTGTCATGCAGGGTAAATACAAATACACTGCAGCTTTGCCAGCCCCAAACCACCCTGCTGTGTGCAGTGCAGGGTGCTGGGATGCTCTGCTTGGAGCCTCGCTCAAGGCTCGCTCACAGGAGGATCCTGCAGAAGCTGAAAGCAGCCCAGGTATTTACTGACTTTCATGTCTGATGCTGAGTAACAGCATTTTTCATGACCTTTCTGTTGCAGGAAAGAGGTGCTGAGCGCACCTGCTCCCAGTGTAAAGGATCAGGCTGTGCTCCTTGCTCGCTGTGCCATGGCAGCAAGTTTTCAATGCTGGCAAACAGATTCAAGGAGTCCTACAGGGCTCTGCGCTGCCCAGCCTGCAACGAGAGTGGTGTGCAGCCCTGCCAGGTCTGCGCTGCGTGACGGAGCTGCGCTGCACCCGGGGCTGCAGGGAGCTTTGCATTATTTCACCTCGAGCAGCTCTGCTCTCATGGGGACTTTTTAAAGATGGGAGCAGTACGATTCGGGAGATGGCCATAAATACAAACACAGCGCCTCTGCTCCACGCTGTTCCTCTTGCCTGTTGCACACATTTGCTCAATCGGAGCCCCGTCCTGCGAATGCACAGCCATGTGATGTGATCTGCACGTGGGGGCTGAGACCTGCAGGACTGCACCTGGCACCGGGAGCCCAGCGTGGGCAGTGCCTGCAGCACTGCTATGGCAGCAGCAGGCAGCAGCATGGGCACAGCTGGGTGTGGGTCTGCGCCACGGCAGCACAGAGCGGTGCCTCCCCTGGGCTTTAATTTGCCGAGCACGTTAACATCAGACCATCTTCTGTAATTACCTCTGAACTCGTGGTGTCACGAACTTTTCCTGAAGATTTTGCTGATTCTTACGTCTGTTTTAATGGACACAACGATTGTTTTAAGGTTTGGCTTATGGGGGGAAACTAAAAACTTTTACCAAATCAGGAGCCATAGAAACTTACAGTAATTTATTATTCAACTAGAAACGAATAAGCTCTTAGCCTGCTTAGGAGGAAGTGCTGAACTGAAATTCCCCTCTCCACTGCTCAGCACTTTTTCTGGATCGGGCTGGCAGCGAGCAGGACTCCAGTTGCCCAATATTAATCCCATGATGTAATCTGCAGAAGGTAAACTCTAATTAGTTAAGGTGGAGCAGTGATGCTGAGCTCTTTGCAGGCTGCCCCTGGTGGTGCAGAATGCGCGGGATTCGGGAGCTGGAAGCAAATGGGGGAAACACGCTGTGTGTTTTTTTTTCTCCCCGAAGCCTTAAATCATGGCGCCGCATATTCATGAGCAAAGCCGAGGCTGCGTTCGCTTGCGCCGTACCGGTGAGACCGATGAGCTCAGCGCTGCCCACCTGCGCCGCGCTGAGGCTGCAGGCCCGGCTCGCTGCCAGCTTTCTGTTTGCTGATGGTTGCGAGGTTTCTCCAAGCTGTTTCAATGGTTGGAAGCCCTCTCAGCCCTCGGACTTCCACTGATGGGCCGCTGGATTTTCTGAGCGGGGACGAATGTTTCAATTTTCAAACAAAGCGCACAAAAATGCAGCTGATATTCGTTCCGCTCCATTTATCGCGTTGGGATCTGCAGTGTGAATAACCGCAGCCCTTCGGCTCTTGGTGAGGGCAGAGGAATCCTCGCTGCTCCGAGAGCGACCGGGGCGCTCAGCCCCGCAGCGGCCGTTTGATCCCTGCGGGCCGGCATCAAAGCTCTGCGGTGAGAACAAAGCAGCGGGCGGAGCTGCTGCCTGATCCTTCAATGTCTACGGCAGAGCTGATGCAAGCACTCGTCGCTGAGGTCACCGCTGCCTGCTCGGTGATTGCGCTGCTCTCGGCAGCCGTACGGCCGGGCTGTGGGTGGCACATAGAGGCGGTGATGTGGGGCTGCTGGTCGGACGCCGAGCCCAACTCCACGCTAAGGGTCCCTGCGGCGCCGTTGCGGCCCCTGACGGGAACCGGGATGTCCTCTGTGTGAACGCCCTACCCGGGCAAAATCCGAATTTCCTCATGGGCTGAAATGCCAGAACTTTGGTACACGTGCTTAGTCTGGAATCTTTTATTGATAGTCTGCTTCTCTTAACCATTTACAGCTGCTCTTTTATTTCCCTACAACAGGGCTGTGGCAAAGATACATTTAAGGTTTTCTTTCTCTCTCTCTCTTTCTCTCTTTCCAAAAAAAAAAAAAAAAAAAAGCAAACTCCATGGCCTTTGTCCTGCTGTGGGAGTCCTGGGCCGTGGCTCCCCGCTCGGGCCTCGCACCCGCTGACAGCCCGGCTTACACTGCCACGCTATGGCTGCCTGTGGATGTGCTCTGAAACAGAGCTGGAAACCTTTGAGCCAACTTGGGAGGGACGGCAGGGGCTGCCCTTTGCCGAGTCTCCTGGCTGCTCGGCAGCTGGAGGTCGGGGAGCAGCAGGGCTGCTTTATTTCATTGTGGAACGCATGAGCCGGAATAGAAACGCAAACAGAAATCGTATTCAGTGTTAAATTTCTATAGGACCGAAGAAGGGCAGTTGGAGGTGAGTAGTGAGGCTAATTATGACAGCCAGAGGCGCAGAGCAGAAAGGTTAAAATAATCCTCATTTCCATGTGCCAGCAAAGTGCATCACTTGCTTTTAAGCAGGAGCTCTGCATGACTGAAGAGAGGATTGCCACAGTTGCTCAGAACGCCACAGTTAAAGCTGATTGCAGCTCTCCTGCTCTTGTTCTTCCTGCCGGGGTTCTGTGGGTGGAAGCACGGAGTGCTGCAGGGAGGCGCAGCTGTTCTCAGAGCACAAAGTCACACAGGCAGTTCGTGGGGCTGCGTCCATCCCCTCCTGCCCACTCGCACCCCTCGCACTGCCTGCACCGCAGCGTTTGCGCCTCTGCTGCTGGAGTATTGTTTTAAATTCCCTTTTATTCCCAACCACCACCTCTGCAGCACAGTCACAACGTGAAGGAACCTGGAGAGGTTCAGCTGATTTTGCAGTGTCACCACTTCATTTCCTTGGAGTTGAAAAAGAAAGAACTGGGATATTTATGCATTTAAATGCTATTATATTTTGCAAGTCTTTGAAGCTGTCAGTTTGATTTATGTGGGCTCCATTTGATTTTGCTGTAAAACCAGCCCTTCTCTGCTTCGAAATATTTCATTTTTATACAAATCATTACGTGTAACCTGCAGTGATTTCTTTCTGCTGCTGAACAGAGCGCTGCTGTAAAAGGCCTGCTATTTCCCCCAAGTAACTTCTAAGAAACATCGCTGCGGATGAAAACTGCTGCTTCTGATAAATGATGGCACACATTCCCATTAGGAGAGGCATGAGGGGTCTTAATTCCCTGGATTCAGCATAATGAGTAATGGAATCAATTCTGTTTGTTGTTTCTTGTGGAAAGCAATCGATACATGTGCAGGAAGAGCGAATGAGAACAGAAATTACCGATTTTAATTGTCTGTTTTTGCTGGTGGAGGATGGGATGCAGCGGAACGTGGCTGTGCTCGGGCACCGCGGGGCGGTCTGGTGCGGGGCTCTGTCCTGAGCAGCCACTTCTGGTGCTGGAGCACAGGGGAGGTGTGTGAGAGCCTGGAGCTGTGGCACTTGGGGACATGGTTAGTGTGTGTGCTGGGGGTGGGTTGGGGTCGTGCTTGGTGATCCGAGGGGTCTTTTCTAGCCTTAGTGGTTCTGCAATTCTGTGTGGCGCTCTGCATCCGTGCAGTGGGCTCAAAAAACTTCTGAAAAAAATGTCATTTCTGTGGTACCGATGGCTTAAAGATGGTCGCTCTGTGGTGCAGTGTCGAGAATTTGTTTGGGGACCTCTCGCAATGATGGGGTCAGATGTAAGCGGGCCGATCTGCAGCCGCCCTCCGTGGAGCTGCTCAGCAGCGGATGGGCCGGGCAGCCCTCTGCGGGGAGCCTCGCCTCGCCTCGCCTCGCAGCTCCGGCATCCCGAGGGGGAACGAACGTCGGCGGGACTCAGGCGGCGCTGCCCGCCCAGGGCCGCCAGGGGGCGGCGTTCATCCGCAGTGGCCGCCGCCATCGCCGCGCCCGGGCCGGGGGGAGCGGAGCGGAGCCGGACGGGACGGGACGGGACGGGACGGAACGGAACGGAGCGGCCCAGTGCTGCGGGCAGAGCCGGGGAGCGCGGATGGCTGCGAGCCCACGTTAAGCACGGCAGGAGCTTCTCGGCTCTGTGCGAACCCAAGCTCTAGGAGCCCGAGCTCGGCCACACGACGCGAGGAGCCGGGAAAGGAGCAGCAGTCCGGTGTGACAGAGATGGCAGCGGGCACCACGTCGGGGCTGTGCCGTGCCGTGCCGTGCTCCCTGCGGGGTTCTGGCGCTGCCGGGGGCGCCCGGCCGTCACTCTGCTCGCAGACTCGTAATATCATTTATTTCTCTGTGCTGTGCGGGAAATTGAGTCTATTTCTGTTTAAATACTTGGGTAATAGAGCCTGCTATTTAGCGGAAGATTTATGTCGATGGCTCTTTGTTTCAAGCGATTGGGCATCACTGTGTGTACGTTGTGCTGCTAATGAAGCTGTGCGGCTGCTGCCATTTCAGAACAGAACGAGGAGGAGAAGCCTCCAGCCTGCGAGCAACGGGACGGGAGAGCCTTGTGCTGTTAAAGCCAACCTGTGATCTGCAGCAATAGAAGGCAGGAGAGCTGGGCATGGAGCAGCCTGTGCTGGAGCCGAACGTCAGCGCAGAAGCCAAAGTTTTGCTGTGTTGGAATTTTAGAGCTCCCATAAATGCACTTTGTCACTGCATTACCCAGATTGATTTGGTCTTAAATGCAACTTCTCTTCCTTTTCTAAAGCTTCGTATTATTTAACGTTGGTCATTATTTGGTGCTCAGTATTTCTTCAATCTGGCATTTTTATCGTCATAGGCAATACAGTAACCTTTAAGAACTGAGTTCAATACATTCTCATATGCTTTAAATTTTATATTTCATTATTGATGAGTGTTGATTGCTTTCCACAGAAGGAGTAAGGTCCTTGCAGCCCCATCCCCTCAGCAGCAGGGCTATTCCCTGTTCCTGCATGACAGACTGTGATGTTTGCGCTGTGCATTTCTCTCCTGGTGAGGCAGTCCCATGGATAAGCATCTGCAGGGGAACTGCTGAGTCCTGGCCTGCACCACTGATGGAGCACCTGGGAAAGGACCCGGTCAGGTCAGTCACCAACACAGCTGCAGCAATTTACCTGTGTGACAGGGAGGGATGGAGCCTGGCTGCTCCTCTCTTAGACCTCACTTAAGGGCTGACTGCCAGCAAGGAAGGATCTCTGGTTGGAGATCCCTCTTTGGTGGAGCTTTCCCCTGTGAGCCTGGAATCTTCTGATATGGGTAAGCAATCTTCTTCCCTTATAGCACCTTTCTTGCACGGTGAAATCATTATGCTTCTGGTGAAACTCCATTTGCCATCATGTTGGTCTGTCCAATTGCTACAGCATCTTTTGGCTGCAGAAACAGTGGAAGTGTTGCTGTTTCCCAGCCGCACTGATGGGAAATAAACCTGCTGGGGTTGGAAGCGGTCACATGAGGCCTGGTGATAATGTGTGGGTTGTGTTTCAGTTGCTGAGTTTGCAAGAGATATTTGGCATGTAAAGTAGTATGCCTCTGTAGGGTATGTGTTAAGCAGTTATGGCACTGTGGAGATCAAATGCCGTATGACTATCCCTGAAAATAATTCTCTTCTTTCAAATACTGGGCCAGTGATGAGATTCTTATTGGCAGTGGAATAAGAACTTGCCTCCCATTCAACCCAAGTGCTTGTGGGTGCTCCTTGTCATACATCTGGGGGTGTCTTCTGTCCTACAGTTAGCAGGGCCCTTCATTCCGGGGCTGCGCTCTTTGTGAGCAAGTCAGTGAGAGTGCTCTGAGATTACAGAGAGCAGGGCATCAGTGCTGCCGTGGCAGCTCTATTGAAGGCAGAAAAGCACTCATCCTGGAGAACGCTTTTCTGTTCTCTGCTCTGTGAAGATGCTTCGTATCGCTGATGTGATGTATTTGAGTTCTGAAAGCTGAGCTCCATAAAGTTTTCATCTCTCAGACCCAGCTGAGTGCCGCTGGAGAACATGCTTTTATCCCTGACAAGTCCTTAACCCAGGCTGCCTGCCAGCTGGCCTCATGTTCTGCACAGTCCTGAGGTTTCTGTTCTTCATTTGGGTCATTAAATATTAAAAGACAAAGTGGTTCTAAAAGCTGGCCATTTTTTGGAGATGCAAAATAACTGTAATTTGTCTCCTAATAGATAGCTTTGTTCTTGTCGTCGGTCCAATTCAGCACAGAAATAAGTGCGTAATAAATGAGGCGGGACAGCACTGTAAATCTGATGGCAGTGTGTTTGCCCAGGGGATGGGCTGGGGAGCACGGATGGGGCTGTGGGCAGCAACGAGGGAAAGCTTCAGTGAGTGCTGCTGCCCTGCCTGCCCACCGCCCCCGAGCAGCAGAGGACAAGGCTGCGTTCAAAGCAATAAAAATCTGTTGCCAGCATTCCTGCTCGCACGCCTGCTGTGCTGGTGAGGTTTTCCAATGTCTCCATTTTTATTTAAAAGATGCTAATATCTGCTTCTTTAACTCTTCTAATGTACTTTCATCATCAGATTTGTCCATGGGGATTATTTGCCGGAGGGGCATTGTGACATGCAGGGCTGTAATTCCTGAAATCCTGAGAAAGATGATCATTTGGAGAAGTTCAGGTAAGTCATGAAGCTTAATACCTGATTGTGGTTGATCTCATTTTGTGAAATTTTACATCTCTTACAAAAAGCCGCTCTGCAGTGGAGCTCAGGGGGAATTAAAATAGTTCTCACTGGGCCTTTAGCATGCTGCGAGCTGTGTGTGGCATCCTGAGTCCCTGCACAGGAGGTGAGAGGAGCCCTTACAGGCTGTAAGAAATGTGGGAACCCAGGGCACGGCCCCTTGGTGTTCCACTCCTGTGTGTCCTACAGTGGCTGCCCGTCCTTCACCGTTTGTGAGAAGAGGAAACTTGGCTTTGTATGCAGCAGAGAAACACGGCAATGCAAACTCGCTACCTATCTCACACGGACACAGCACACATTCCTGAATGAGAATGTCCCTCTTCAAGGAGAGCTTGGAAAACCCAAACTGGCCAGGGTCTGAGTGCCTGCTGTGCTCTCCCTCCCTGGGAAGTGTTGTCTGTTGCCTTTTGAGAGCTTGAGATGAGTAATGATTTCCTTTGCTTCGTCTTGACTGCATGTAAAGCAGTGCTGATTGCTGTCCCATAGCTTTCTGCTGCTGCCTTCAAGCTCTGGGTTAGGCTCTCTGGCCAGAGCACAAGGAATGGCTGGAAATTAATTTTCCATGTGCTGTTGTGCAGTCATAGAAGTCTGCCCTGCCGCTCCAGCACAGCCAGGGCATCTGCTTTGCTCTCATGCCCACCAGCAGATGCTTGGCCAGCAGTTAAAACTACCAGCTGGCTCCTGCTTACCAGCCATTGGCAGGGGGCGTTCCCACTCCCAAACAGTTTTCTTTCTCTGATGTTTGGCCTGCTGGGCCTCAGAGATGTGAACTGCCATGGGACTTTGCTTGGGAGTAAGGCATCTGTATTTGTGCAGAGAGGAGCACAGGAATGTCTTCATGCAGGTTTCTGGCAGGGTTAAAGTGGAATTCCTAATTCCTGCAGCAGTGGAATAACCAGGTATGTTATATGAGACTGTCTTTAAAAATGATTCGTTTCTTGCTGATGTCAACCCCATTAGTTCTTACTGTGCTCCGGTGTCTTGTAATTAGTTGCTACTTCTGCCTTGTGCTGTTCCCTGGGAAGTGTGGCACTGCTGTCCAGCAGGGCCCATGTGGCTGCTACAAGAATGTTTGATAAATCTGACAAAGTTCAAGTCCTTCTCATTCAGGTGTTTTTAGAAGTCCAGTAGTGGGACTCTGCTGTTTGAGGATATGCTCCTCCTGGTTTATGAGCCATTTTGGTTTGGATTGCTGGAACCCCCCGCCATGCAGCCCTGCAGAGCAAGAGCCCAGCCACCTCTGGGGGGGGGACGTTTCCTCCCATCAGCGTTGGGTGCTGGTGCTGCTGGTGCAGAGTTGTGCCCCGCTCCTCCAGCAGCCCACAGCTGCTTCTGGCTGCCCTGGTCTGGGGCTGTCCTTGATGTTTGCCATGCTGCTTCCCCCAGCCTGTGCAGCTGAGAGGGGATTTGAGGTGCACTGATTGGAAACAGGTTGGCTTCAGCTGCGTGGATGCCTGTGGTGATGTTCACGTCTGAATAGAGGCAGGAATTATGCATAAGGCATAATATCAACATGCTTGCACTGGAGAGAAATGAGAGAACTCGCCATGAGGAGACTCGAGTGATCTGATTAGTGGGGAAATTGTTCATTGTGCCCCTGAAGAGAGAAGAGCGCCACGAAAGAGATGAGAACTGAGTACAGAGGGACACCTCCTGTGCACGGAGCTGCTTGGTTCCTCTCCCATGAAGTGCTGCCAGCAGACTTCAGCAGCAGCTCTGTGCAGCTCTTCAGGGCACTGTGAGTTGAGGAGAGCAAGAAGTCCCAAACCATGCAGTGTGTCTGAGCCAACAGCTTCAGCCTCCTGCAGGGCAGCTGGTGCATCAGGTCACACGGTGCTGCGAGGGCTGACGCGGCCGTGCTGAGGCCATGCCCTGTGTGAGCACTGCTGGAAGTGTGCAGGCTGAGCAGAACGTGGCGCAGGCTGTGAATCCTCGTGCTGCTGGTTGTGAGCTGGGGGGGACCTGCACTGAGGAAGATATTTCTCAGCTGTCACAGCTTTGGTTAATTTCACTGTTCTCCCTTCTGGGCGCTGCTGGCGCACGCTGGTTCCTGCAGGGCAGCAGCTCTGCTCAGGCACTGCATGGCTGTCCTGTGCTCCAGCTGGGATGCTGGGTGCTACTGCTGCTTTCATTTTGAAACCTCCCCTGACAACACCTGAACGATACTGCTAGACTTCTTATACTAAAGGCACTTTAATTAAACTCCCGTCACAAAAACAATTAGGCCAAATTTGCTGTACTTAACTGGTCAATAATTTAGTAGTTGGATCTCATTAATAGACTTCTCTTTGTGAGTGTTGTGAGGATGCAGTGCTGCCAGCTGTGTGCCCAGGAATCAATCAGAGATCAATACCTTCCTTTTTTTTTTTTTTTTCCTCCTAGAATGGTGAAACAGCAAAATTAATAAGTAATGCTGACCAGTATAGCCGGGTTTGGTGCTGGACATTCACTGCTGACATCCATCCTGCAGCCACAGAGACTTCAAGGCAATGATTTTCTACAGGAGAGTTTACAGTGAAGATTTTCTGAGCACAGAATTTGGTGTTCTGTTCCTGTTTTGTAGGGTAACCTCACAGAAAGGCAGAGCGTCAGTTCTGCTCAGGTTTGCTGTGTGCTCGGAGCTTTTCCTCAGTTCATCATAGAAGAAGACATGAAGAGGGTAGGTTCACCCATTCCTTGAAATTCTTCCTGGAATTACACTGTAAATGTTTTCAAACCATCCCATTGTCCGGTCTTAAAATAAATTTGGTATTTTTAGTCTGGGTTCCTTCTCTCTTCTGACCACTGAAAGAATATTTGACCTTTTCTTTTCTCTACAGAGAACACGCTGAACAAAAATGGGTTTGGTTTTATTATGGTAATAGCTTTGTTTCAACTACCTTTTAAAGCATGGTGTGTGTGTCTGTATCAATTCCCGTAATTTATTCTTATTCCTGATTTCCCCCAGGCATCGGAACAGTTTTTCTTTCTAATGTCTCATTGCACGAGCTGATACTGTGATAATAATCTGCAGCTTTATAGCACCTTTGCACTGAAATAGTCACAAATAGCCCGCGTGATTTATATCCCATCGCTTTTCTCCAGCAGTGCTGGCTGGTTTTGGCAGCCCAGTGCATTTCCAATGGCCGCAGCCCATCTCGTGCAGCAGTTCTGTGCACCTCAGCAGCTCTGTCTCTCAGTGGGGTCGTGGGTCGGATGGGTGCCATCTGCAGCAGCGCCGTGGGGCGCACAGGGCTCGGAGGCCTTTGGTTTGTGGCAGCGGTGCACAGCCAGCCTGGCAGCAGCAGCAGGGCCTCCTGCAGTTTGCGGTGCCACTGGGATGTGCAGAGTCCTGCAGCTGTGACCTGGGGGGGCTGGGGCTCATCGTGTGCCTCAACTTTAAAAATACAAAAAAATTGCAGCTGCTGTCAGAATGAGCAAGAGAAGTCTCTCTATTGCTGCGTAGATGAGGGTTTTTTGCCTCCCCCTCGGCTCTCGTTTTGTTTCTGATGAGTGAAGGCATCTCTCTGTGCCTGCTTCACACAGCACTTTCACAGCTGGGTTCACAAAACCCATGTGTGCAGAACTGTAACAAACCCACGCTTCCCGTTGGTTGTTTTCTTAGTTCTTTAATGGAGAAATTTGTTTGTCAGGTGTACTTGAAGTCCACAGTCCAGGTGTGACTCTAATTATTTGTGAGCACTGAGTGGTGAATTCTTGTAAAGGTTTTCTTCTACTTATTTACTTTCATTTTAATGTGTGCTTTGCAGCGTTCTGCCTTCTCTCCTGCTGGCACGAGAGCTGTGCCCCAGGAGCCGTAGGTGGGAATGGAGTTCAAACCACAGCATGGCCGTTCATTCGTCTGCTTATTCCTGAAAGCTGAACGATCTTCTTGCTTAAAAAAAAAAAAAAAAAAATCATCAAGAAAGCGAAAGTGAGCATCTCTGCTACTGTAAGCAATGACAGCACGTAACAGAACCTGTCTTGCAGGCTGCAGGCAGCACACAGCGAGCAGATGGAGAAACTCGACCACGGAATCGCTCAGTGCTGTGTTAGAAATCCATTAAAAATGTTGGCTGTGTTTGCAGAGCTCTGGAAAAGAAAAATGCAGATGAGCTGTGTGCCTGGAATACATGCACAGGCTTTAGTTTTACCTCTGGAGTTGCTCTCCCTGTAAGCAACAGCTGTGTGTATGCATTTCATTTCTTTTAAGCTGTTAGATGGGGTCTCTGTAGTGGCTTGGCCACAGCTTATTTCAGAGACACATTTTGCCCACAAGTAATAAATGGCAGTGCAAACAGGTATTATGTAGAGGTAGAAAAGAAGTTTTGTGTGAGTGACGGAGCTTGGTGAGGATTCTCCTCACTTCCACTGTGCCTGCCTGACTTCTTCCAGCACCTGGTTTGCATCCTTCCTAACGGTGCAATCGGACAGCCCTTGCTTCTCTTGCACCTGCCCTGGCTGGCTGGGAGAAGTAAGGCTGCTGCTTTCAGAGCCCAGACTTCACCCTCACGTCCCAGCAGCAGCACTGCTGTGTCCTGCAGGAGGTGTGGGGCTGAGGGGATGGAGCAGAGAGAGCAGCAGGAGACAGCGCTGGGAGCTTCAGATGGATGAGTGAGTGCAGCTGAGCTCATGTACTGCGATGCTAAATACTGAATGTTGTGGGATGAGAGGGACAGGTGAACTGCTCGTGGAACTGTTCTTGGACGTTAAAGACAGCGATCTTTCTAGTCACTTTTTGTTACTGGCATCAAATCTATTCTCTGGCAGCTCTATTTCTTTAAATGCATAACAGCCCTGCAGTGCCCCATCTCACAAGGATCTGTCCCTGCCTTCCGAAGTCGCAATGATCTCTGCTGGCGTTAAGCACTCCAAGGGCAAAGCAGGAGCGATTGTAAGGCTGGGTGATAAAGGAGCGATTCTAGCAGAGCATCTTTGTTACGTAGATGTGCGGTTTATCCGTTGTCTCTGAAATGTTGCAGTATTTCAGTCATTTTCACTTCTTGGTTTCTTTTTTAGATTCCTTTCCCTTGACTTGAATGTATATGGGGTGGAAAGTAAAGGAAGGCTGTAATGTGGTGTTTGCTAAATGGAGCCGAGCTCCAATCTCAGTGCTTAACTCTGAAATGTTTTGTCACGGTTCCAGAGGGGTGGAAGCTGTGCGCTCTCTGCAAAGGCAGCAGGGCAGGATGTGCCGTGCCTGCAGCTTCCCTGCCTGTGTGCTGGGAGTGGGAACGCAGGTGATCAAACTCAAACACTGTGCTTCTGCGTGTCTCTTAACCTTTTATTTAAACCTTACAGGGTTCGTGCAGCTGTGGGGTGCCCGACAGGCGCCGTGTGCTCTGTCCTGTCAGCTGGGCTCTGGTGTGCACTGAATGCGATCCCAGCAGGTCTGCAGTGGAGGAAGCTCCCAGCGCTGCCCAGCAGTGTGCGGGATGCCCGGGGCAGGGCAGCTCCTGGCACAAGGCACAGCACCTCTGGGATGGAGCAGCTTTTAAGCTGAAGCCACAGAGGTGCAGTGTGTAATAAGTAGGCAAAGTTTGCTCTGCATTTCGAGTGCATCATTGTGCTCTAAGTAATGCAGATTTGGCTCCTTTAACCCTGATCTCCTGGGGCTGAGCTTTAAGTGTTTGAACTTTAGTTGAAAGGAATATATTGATTAGGCTTTGATTTAGTCATTGCTTGCTGGAAAGATACCAGGTAACAACTCGTATCTGCCCATTTAGATTTTTATTCATTACATGGATTCCCCTCTCCTTCCCCTTTTCTTCCTCAACACTTTTCTGCCTAAAAGTCTGCAGTGCTTTGTGGAGAAATAAAAGAAAAAGCAGCTGTCACACTGTGAACATAATTGATTCAATAAACAACATTTTCAAGTCCCCTGGGATGAGCCTCAGCGTCCTCGCTTATGTCAATTAGTGCTTTATTCTGCTAAGTGTGGCACCTCTCCTTGAGATGGATGGGCCGAGGCAGTCAGCTCGTTGTCTTCGAGGAGAAGCTGTGAGAGATGGACTGTTTGCTGTAGATAGAAAATACCCCGTTCATTTGTTATGGACATGTGAAAGGAAGCTTTCCTGACCTATTTGTTAAAGCTAATTGTCTTTTTTCTTGGTTTTGTGGTTTTCTTTTTTCTCTGAATGGCTCCGGCTGAGACCTTCTTTTTCTTTTGCTGCAGCAGAGAACAGCCCGGGTTAAGCCTTCGCCCATCTCCGTTGCGGATAACCTTATGTCCGCAATATCGGAGCAAAGTGGAGCAGCAGAGCTGGCAAATGGTGCTATTCAGCGTGCAGGGCGAAGGTGTGGGAGAGGAGGGAAGCTTTAGGTTTTCTTCTACACAGTGACCGTGTTTTCTTTCTTCTGCTTGTACAACAAATGCAGAGCTGCTTGTTTTGCACTACTGAAGCTTGCACTTGAATCCAAATCAAAACTGAGGAGAGCCTTGCTGCAAAACACCACGTCCAGCCCTGGCACGGAAGAGCACTTAACAAACAAAACAGCAAAGCTTCCCATCCTGAGGGAAGCAGCTCAGTGCATCCAAATGGAGGTGGTGGGAAGCACCTGGGGCTGAACTGCCCTGCACCCCAACAAACCAACAACCCAAATGGTGCTTTACTAACAGTTTATTGTCTCACGGTTCCTTTTCCCTTCACAGATCCGTTCTTGAGATGAAACGCTCATCCTGTGGTCCTCTGATGGTGTCTGACTTTGTTCAGTATTGTTTTCTTACATTATAGAGCTACTGATGTGTAGAACTTCAATCATTGCAGACCCAACCACTTGCAAAGAATACAAGCGATGGCGTTTCCCTTCTAAGGAGGAGTGCATTGAGAAGCAAGGAGCAGGGGCAGAACTGGAACACAGTGTGTGACATAACTGATTTGCTGCGGGATCACAGCACCTTGGAACAGTGTGGGAGCTGCAAAGAGTCCTTTGTCCTCTCTGGTTCCTCTCTGAGAAGTCAGTGGTGTTTGGTGCCATGCAGGCAGCAGGGAACCTGCAGAGAGTAAATATGGGATCAAAAAATGTTTTTTTTCTTTAGGGTGTTACTGTGTACCGCGGGGCTCCTCTTTCTGATGTGAGAGGTACTGAAGCTGTGTGTAAAGTTGCCATTTATCTGTGCTTTTGTTCAGGGTATTAACATGATGGAGAGGCTTTTTCTGGAGCAGCGTTGTTGACGGCCTGTGAGCTGTTGTAAATGCAGCATCCTTCTACAGGTGAGGAAAACTGCTCAGATCTGTGATGCCCGTTGCACGTTGTGCTTTTTGCAGTTGTACAAATAACACAGCTTGTTGTCCTTTAGAAATAGCTCCATAAAAACGGGATGCTTTCAAGAAAAATAACTATCTGCTGCAACGTTAAGCTTAATAATATCTCTGAGTTTCTGGGCAGTGCGTCAACTTCTGTGTCCTGTCTTTTGTTCTCTCACTTAATACATCACGGTGTGGTAATCTTAAGAAAGAAGTTGTTTCTATCTGAAGGTTTCCTGCTGGAAAACAGCATCTTCAGGGTCTGCCCATAGAGGGAAGGTTTGCTCAGCTCTGAGTACTTTCAGAACAAGAGCAAACGGCTGTCGGTTACCTCCTAATAAACGTTATTATAAGCCTCTGTTTTCTGCTTTGCAGGAGAAAAAGAACCTGCATTGTTTCCTGGGAACAGAATATCTTCATTGCCATCGCGACACCATGGCTGTTATCTGATCTTCATTGGTACCATTTTACTGAGGGGAGAGAATTGCATGTGTGGAGGTGGGGGAAAAAGGAGAAGACTGTAGACTGGAATTGTGAAATCACAGAGAAAAAATGTAAGCTTGGGAATGGCATCTCCTTGTGAATTTGGTGCACCATCCCTAGGGACCGCATTCGATCAGGGAACGCGGAGCCCTGCTGCACAAACAGCCCTCGCTGCCATGAGGAGCCCTGAGCCTCTCCAGCCCATTGCTGTCTTTCCCGGAGGCACAAGCACAGCCCATGCACTGCTCTGAGATGGACTTCACTGCCCCAAAACAAAGCTCGACCTCAGCAGCGCAGTGGGGCTGCCGCTTCCTGCCTGTGTCAGCACTGCTCATTATTACAGCCCTGATGGTGGTGTTTGGTTACCGTGCTCCCGCCAGTGTAATTATACCCAACTGTAAAGATGTGCCTCGGGACAAGTTTTAAATTGCGTGCATCTGAATTCTTTCAGGAAACGTTTCTCTTGTTGTGTCTGAGCAGAGGCAGAAGGCTGTGGGGGATCAGCAGGGTGCAGGAGTGCCCAACACAGAGCATCTCCTTTGCGTGTCCTCCTGCTGTGACACGTGTAACACTATGGTATCATTTCAAACCTTTGGGGCGAAGCTCAGAGGAGCACAGACCCGCTCTGGTGCTTCCCTGCAGCTGCTGCACTGCGCTGGGGGTGGGAGAGCTGTGGTGTAAACCATCCCAATGAGCCAGGAACAGAACTGCCTGGAGTGCTGCATGGTTGGTGTTATCTGACTGCTGTGAGTTTGGAGTCTGAGTGCCAAACAACAAATATTTATGAAATGTAATGGCCAAGGCGAAAAACGTTCATTAACATGTTGATTCTTCTTCAGTTACTGCTTTGAACACCCAAAGAAGCCATCAAATGACTTCTATTCCAAATGCTTGTATGATTTTAGGACTAATAGCTTTATTCCTGCACTGCTCTGGCTTTTGGGATGAGCACAGTAAGCAGTTGTGTTCTCCCTCCAGCCTGGAAGCAGGAGCTGTGTGTGGCCACAGTGACCCACCAGCATCCTGTCTGTCCCCAGGAGTTCCCACCTGTGCCTTCCCTGGGAGCAGTGGCTCCTGAGCCTGGGGGTCCTTCCAGACCTCACTGTGGCCAAATGCTGCACTCGCTGAAGCCGTGTGCAGGGAATGGTGGGCACAGAGCAGACATGATGAGCTCAGAAGTTGAGAAAATCAGTATTTGATTCCCTTAATTACTGTATTACAGCTGATCTGTGAACATTTCCATCAGAAAGTCACCTTCTCTGACACCAGCTCTGATCACTGGAGGATGGGTGCTGTGTGCTGAGTGGCAGCTGGAGTTCAGTTCTCCGTTTACAGAATACTGCTGACCCCGCTGTGTCTGTCCAGTTTCTCACGTGCCATCTGCTGTATTCTGAGGTTCTGCTGTGCTCGGTGAGCCTGGCACGGCTCCTTTCTGAGAACCTCAGGGAGCATTAACTCTGTGGGGTGGTGAGGTGGTCCCACAGTGCTGTGTTCATCGGCACTCACGTCAGGAGCCCCACGAGCTCTGTGCAGCTGAGCTGAGCAGAGATGGGGCACAAGAACTTGCAGCTCACCGGGGAAGGCGATGGGCTGCCTGACCATGAATGGAACAAGTATGGAAAGAAACACAGAAGAAAAATGTTCTGCCTCCATCCTTGCCAGCTGCCTCCTGCCTCTTTCCATGGCCGAGGCCCTGTGTTCAGCCCTGTTTGCTGCAGCCACACACAGGTGCCCACGTACTGCACTGGGGCTGCTGGCTGTGGCCTGTGGGAGGCTGTGTGAGTGCTGCAGAAAGCCACCAAATTTTCCAACCCTTCCGTGCTGTGACATATGCACAGCCCGGCGTATCCAGAAAGATGACACATTTTATTACATGGGGAAATTGAACAGTTGGCGGAGGAAAATACTTTCACCAGGAACAGGTTTCTGCTGTAGATATTTAATTGCAACACTGCCGGTGTCAGAGTTTGATCGGTAGCTTTGATTTGTTTTTAGAAACAAAACCCACGGTGTGTTCCAGCTGCCAGCCCTGGTGCTGTGTGTGGGGCTGAGATGGGACGAACTGGGGGCCCTGCTGCTGCTATGAGGTGGCTCACAGGTGCAGCCCCACTTCTGTAGGGACCCCTCAGCCCTCCCGCCTGCAGCCCCACAGCTCGGTGCAGCCTGCAGTGCTGTGTCTGTGCTCCCTCCTGAGCTGGCAGCCCTGAGTAAGCCGTTAGTTAAGCTGTGCTGCTCTATCCCTGCTGCTTTAAAACTCCTGTTCCCAGTTATCAAGCACGTTATTATTTTTTGCTGTTTATTTCCCGTTTCGTGATTTCCATTTCATGTTTGTCTCACTAATGACAGCAATGTTTCCGTAGGAGTGGCAAGATTTAGAGCACTTAGCTGCTTTGCTATCCGCCAGAGCAGCCAAGGGCCCCTGGGAGCTGTGTGTGCAATTCCCTCAGCGCGGGCAGAGCTGGGCCTGGGGATGGGAGCTCAGTGCCAAGAGAGACTGTGGGGAGCACCCAGCACCCACTGGGGAGCACCAGCACCCTTTGTGCTCAGTGCCCTTTGGGGTGCATTCAGCACCTGGCACATCCCCACCAAAGTCATGGTGCCAAACTGTAGGAGAGGTTGGTTGGTTGGTTTGTTTTGCCTATGAACAAGTGCTTGCCTTCCTGCAGCCCTGAAGACCTGGCTTGGCTCGGAGCCGAGAGCAGCAGACACAGGGAAGCAGCACGCAGACAAGAGACCAATTAAGCACAGAACGCTGCAAATCCATCTAGTGCCATTACGCTGTATTTTGCATTAGCTGAGAAAACAAAGTGCCCGAATGAAAATGGACTCTGCAGCCTGGCAGCAATCTTTTGTACTCTTTAGAAAACAAGTTTCAGAAGTGCTGAATGCACAGTGGACAAAATTGTCCTCAAAAAAACCAAGTTCCATTATGTTTTAGTATTTAGAAGGAGATAAAAAAGGCGTGCGATTCAGTCCCTGCAAAGAACAAATGATGGCATTTGCTCCCATGGCAGCAGGGAGCACCTGGTGCGAAGGGCACTGCCCTGAGAGGAGGACGTGGTTCTGAATGCCACCTTGAAAAGGCTCACATGTGGTGCTGCCATGTAAACAGGATGTGCTGTGGACGTTTCTGACATTTGGAGGGACAGCTCTGTAATCACAGGTTACTGGCATCTCTTGGTGGGAAGGGAGAGTGGATGCCCTGCTTTTTGATATCTGTCACATACCAGGAGTATGAAACACAAATGCGCCCAATGTCAGTTGCTGGTTCTGCCCTGTGCAGAGATTTCAGCTCGCCCTTGGGTGTGCGTTCCCCCCACACCAAAGATGTGCAGCAGCACGCTCTGTGCAGCAGGCACAGCTCAGCCCAGCTGTGCACCTTTCCTTGCTTCTGCCCACGTCACCCACGTCCACCTCTTCTGTGTGCTCTGTGCTGGTGATACGCAGGCTCTGAGTGCAGAGCTCCTGTCTCAACGGTGTGTTCTCCAGTTCCTCTGTAGAGTTCCTCCACACCCATTTCTCACTCACTTGTGCTTTGGTTCTTGCTCATTTTAACCATTGGACTCTTCAGCCAAAGCAGGCTGGGCTCCCTTTGCCAATCCTCTTTTGCAAAATGCAGAGCAGCCATTGCAATGCCAGGGCTTAGTGTGCTTTTTCCACTCACCCCGCTCAGAAGGCCTTGCAATACGATTCATCTGCCTTGATTGATTCATTCTCATTATCAGTCCTGAATTATTTGCAGAGGTAAATGACAAGCCTTTATTTTCTCATGGTGCTTTATCTTTTCACAAAAAGCATCCAACAAAGTTGCTAATGGAAAAGCTTTTAACCTTCTGTGGCCGCGGGCAATCTTTGCCCATTCCCGTTGCCATGAGACACGTAGAGCTGTGAGCTCACAGAGAGCTTCCACTGCCCCCACCAAGGGAATGGGCACAGTGGTGGGCAGCACGAGGTGATGGGCACAGCGTGGGGAGAAATCGCTCCCTTCAAGAATTAAAGAGAAGTGAAAGGACAAATCCATTCCCCCCCTTTGGAGGCAGGGATGCACAACCACGTGTGGCCTCACTGCTCCCACTGCACGGAGCCAGCAGCAGGATGGACTCTGGAAATTTCTCCTCCAAAAGAGCGGTCAGAGCTGGTGCAGCTGTCCATGGAGTGGAGAATCGCCGTCCTGGAGGTGTCCATGAGCAGTGGAGATGTGGCACTGGGTCAGTGGGCACAGTGGGGTGCACTGGGTTTGGGCTTGGGGATCCGAGAGGTGTTTTCCAACATTAATGATTCTATGATTCCCTCTGGCAGTTCTGCCTTGGCTGTGGAGAGGAACCTTTTGGTGTTGGAGGGCCCCCAGGTGCTGGTCTGGCTCTGGGCACAGTTGTGGTACAGCTGTGTGGGTCCTGGCTGCTCCCTGAGGTGCTGCCTGGAGCACTGAAGGAGCAGGATGAACTTTAAGCATAAGTTAAACGATCCCCAGCTACTGCATTTCATTCTGTCCTTCATTCACAGGGTGACAATTTGTCCTGCAATGATGGAACAGATGGGGGGGAAATATCAGGAAAATTAGATCAAGCTGTGGTGTAATGCCATGAGATGAGTCAGTTCGATTATGGTGTAGCCTTACAAAAACAGGACGTTGGACAGAGTGTACTTTATAGAAGAAGGCTTTTTTTAATGCTGTTATTCCTTTCTAAAAGCTGAACGAACACTTCCTGATCCATTGCTGAGTGGCACTGGGCTCCTTCCTGCAGTGCTACCAGCAGCCGGCAGGCAGGCACCCCATGGGAGCAGTGCCACATCCCCACCTGCCACTGCCTGCTGTCAGCTGTCTCATGGGCACCTCCTGAAGGTCAGTGAGAGCCACAGGTACTTTCCCAGCCCCGATGCCCCAGTTCCATCCTCTGGTGCTTTTCTGAGCACTTGGGGAAAAAAACGCAACTCTTAGAAAGAAGATAAAAAGCTTCTGCAAATATTTATGAACAGGAAATCGATCAAACTGTAATTAATCTCATTATATTAAACAACTTCTGAGGGCTGCAGCTCCTACCTCTGGCTCCACAAGGGACAGCATTTCTTGTTGGGCACAGCAGGAGGAGGCACTGCCACACAGGTGTGGGGTAGGGGAGTGGTGATGCTGCTGGGGCTGTGATGGAAGCACCTGGGGTCCTCCTGAGACTTTACTGAATCCCATCAGTGCTAAAAGGACTTAGGTATTGCTGCCCTTCCTAGGGCTGGTTTGGTCTCAGCAGTGGCTGCGGTCCCCAGCTGCTCTCCGTCTGCCCCCAGCTATGGCTGCAGGTAGGGGCCCTGGAGGGGCTGGGGCAGGTGGGCAGCACCCTGTGCACATGGTAGCTCTGGTCTGGGTCTCCTGCAGTGCTGCATGTCTCCAGCTGGCTGTACTGAGGTGCAGGAGGTGTTGCTGTGGAGCAGGAG